AGCTTGTCACTTAAGATTTAAATGCAACTCTCGAATGCCTCTTTCGAGAAGAATAGTCCAAAGTACAAAGTGTCAAGATTGCCGTGCTCTTGACTGTATATCAGAAAAAATAGAGATAGAAAAAACAATGAATGATAGAAAAAAAAGACTTAACATCCTTTGTTTTTTAAAGTAAATTAGCTACACAATCGGTTACGAAATTCATTATTATATATTAAAATTCAATTTAGTATCATATAAATGTAAAAGTATTTAAAAAAATCCCTCTCCTGTAAAATTTGTTTTTTGTCGCTGACACTAAGTAAGTAAATGGCTCAATATTGTCCGTCCATCTTGGAAGTTAGAGTAGTGCGATCACACGATAAATGCACACTATCAATTCAGATAATTACTCAAATTGAAACCCTATTTGAAAGAGGTACTGTTGTCAAAAATGAACAGGAAGAAACATTTCAATGAGATCTATCTTTTAGCAGGGGCCAAGTCTGGTAATTTTCATAAAACCACTGGTCATTGTAATTCCATTGAGATTTCACTGAGACAACTGAGTCTAAATTGTGTCAGTGGAATGGAACTGATGGCATTCATTCATTGAATCACTATTGATCGATGTTGACTCATCAAACCTACCATGAAAAATCCAAGTACATAACTAATCCACGCGGCGTTTACGAAAAATCCTCATTTTTAGATATAAAGAAAGAAAAATGGTGTGGTTGGTAACTTTATGCTCTGCACGTCGAAAAAATCTCATGAAACCAAGAACCCGATCCGCATTGGACCGATACCAAAAACTATAGAATTGAGAAAACACGATATGAAAGTTCAAAAAATTACTGAATGGAACCAATAAATTTAATTTCTCGTTTAAAAGTGGATAACTAATTCATCGTCAAGCAGCCTCTACGCCATCCGTTTCCGGATATGGGTCTCCTCCATATTTCTCCATTTACGTCGCTCACGTGTCACGTACATCCAGTTGCAGCCCGTGAAAATTTTAACGTTATCCACCCAACGAAGTGGCTTACGACCTCTGCCGCGCGTGGCTCATGATCACCACTCCATGATCCTCCTTGTCCACCAATTTGGATCCATCCTAGCTATATGTCCTACCCATTTCCATTTCATCGTATCAATTTTGTGTAAAACGTCCTCGACTTTGATTATCCGTCGAACACGCTCATTCGGTATCGAATCGACCAATGCTATTCCTAACCATGCTCGTTCCATTGCCCTCTGTGCGACTGGTAAGTTCTCTGCTGACTTCTTCGTCAGAGTCGTTGTGTCCATGCCATAGGTGAATACTGGCAGGACACACTGGTTGAAGACCTTAGTTTTTAGCCTCTGGATAACTAATTATTATATATTAAATAAATATCAACACTATTCGCAATTAAGATTAGTTTTTTCATTAAAATTTTTCATCGGTATTTCCTATGATGATAATTAATATGTTTGCATTTATTCTAATTTCTATTATTAATTAACAATAAATTGAAATTAATAAAAATTCATTCAATAAAATAATTTGTAAAACGTAATGTAGCGTAAATTAAAACGTTTTCTTTGTAAATTTAAATAATAACTTTTAACGTAACGTGTAATTAATAACTTTTGTAACTATAGTGAAAAAATAGGGTGATTTGCATTAATATTAGACATAACTGGTTGAAGACTGTACCACCTCAGTCAACCGTGACCATGGAACCTGTAGAGGGCCCGAAACGTTGGTTTGTTTGAAAAAAGAAATTACGCGATTTAAATCCGGAAAAATTGTTTCATTTCCTAAAGTAAGATTAATTCAGTTTTTTTTAAATTCTTCAAATCTTATAATTTTTGTTTTACGACAGTATTTGCTTTCATGTGCGACATATTTAGTTTGATAGTAATGAGCATAGACATTTACAGGCATATTATATATCCAAAAAAAGGCATGTCAGTCTTATCGATCCCAATAAAGTGTAAGGTTAGTTCTTTATTCTCTATATTCGAGCAAATACAATATGGTTTACTAAACATTTGTTGGGTGAAGTAAACTGACGAAGTCTAATAAACAGAAGTCATATGGCCAAGTTCAATATCTTACTTACTCATAGTAACATTTTTCTAATATCTAATTATATCTAACAATTAAGTCCAGATGAAAAAAAATCGGTTTTTGTACATTTATCGTTCTTATTACCCGACCCGACATCACCGAAATAAGAAACAAGTTTTAAAACCAGTTTGGCTTATGCAAAATAAATATTTCCACGCTTAATTTAATTATTTATTTATGCCTTATTTATGATTTTATAGCGATCAAAAAATGTATATTTTAGCTGCATATGCAGATGCAGAAAAAAATTTGGCTCTTGTTCTTTCCTGAACTTTGATTCTTTTAAAACCGGTCCATCTTTACTCTTTAAGGAAACAATAATGAGGAAAACCGCAGACCTAGGAAGGTTCACAAGAAAGAATATGCTTAATCGTCGCATATAAATCTCTACTTAATTTATTGCTTTGTGACTAATAACCGTAACCATTTGTCCATTCTGTAGATTTATATTCAAATGACATTTGCTTTTCGTATCGCATTTTTGACGAATTTGCACAGATTATTATAGACTTGTAAACGAGTAGTTATTAAGCCGTGGTAACCTAATGGTTCTAACCTACCACTTCTCAAGCGGAGGCCGTGGGTTCGAATCGGGGTTCGCACTTCTAAGGCTGCGAAAATGTTGACTTCACGCATTAACTGCAAACATGCAGTCATCGAGTATATAACCATAAATAGAGACGAAATGATATTTAATTTCTTTGAAAATTATTCTGCCATATCATTACTGTGACAACAGCGCTCCGATTGGTCAGTCCGAATTCGAAACAATTGACGGGTGTCGTTAATTGTTTCATTCAAATCGGCCAGTTAACTTGAGCTTTGCTAAAAATTTAATTACCGATGAAATTTGATTTCGTTTGTTTTGTAATTAGATGTTTTGCTGTTTTTCCCCACACCACCGAAACGAACAGCATGCCATTGTTAGAGATATTATCTTTATTACAATAAATACAGAATACTTCTGGAATATACGGAGACAGTCAATTGTTGGCGGCTGTCTATATTTCAGTGCAAACGAGATTTGATATTTATAAGTGACGTATCACTGATGAGTTACCAGGAATGTATAGCCCTTATTTCGTCTCTATTTCTGGTTATATACTCGATGACTGCGCGTTTGCAGTTAACGCGTGAAGTCGTAATCAACTTCATGCAGCCAAGTCCACGACTTCACGCATTATCTGCATGCGGTCGAAACCAACTTCATGCAATTAATGGTGAAGTCGTTATCAACTTCATGCAGTTAATGTGTGAAGTCGTTATCAACTTTATGCAGTCGAGGTCTCTGTTGATTACGACTTTACGCATTAACTGCAAACATGCAGTCCATCTGTTAGCAGTCTAAGTTTTATGACCATGAGATTTCTGGTGAAGGAAAACATCGCCATGAAACCTGCACGTCGACGAAGGTTCAGAACTTTCGAAAAACGTGTGAAGTCCCTAACCCGAATTGGGCCAGCGTAACGGATTATGGCCTACACCTTCGCCTGAGAAGAGACCCGTTTGATAATATATTTTATTCATCTTCATTATTTAAAAAAGTACATAATAATATGGTCTATCCGGGCCGTGCTCCGTCAGGGGCTCAAAAAATATTTGTTGTGTATGTTTTGTATGAACTTGTTCACACATGTCCGCAGTTCATACAAACTAGCACGCCCCGGCCACGTCCTAATCTTATTTACCTGACGTAGCTTACGTAGTTTATTGACATTTGTAATTTAGTTTTTGAATGAATTTATTCCAATCTTATTAACCAGTATAGACATTAATAATTAAATCTGACATTCTTGCATAGCATTAACAATATTGTACGTATGAAATACTTTAAATATTTTTTTCTTTATTTTGTACTGTCAATGTCCATTATTAATTATGTTTGAAATATTCGTAAACCAAATGGTGCTTGAGAAAAACTTTAAAAAATTATATAACTTCAAAACTGTGCCAATATTAATTAAATTTTTATTGAATTGATATTCTATTATTAATACAAAGATCGAACACTCAGAGAAAATTCCTGCGATTCGGTCGGATTCGAACCAACGTCTTCTAGCAAACGCTATGCCAACTAAACCACGGAACGAGGCAGAGGACCTTACAATTTTTTTCTATGTGCTTGTTTTGAACCAAACACCCACAACTTTCAGTTTACAATATTAGAAAAACTCTCTAAATACTCAGAATTAAAACAGGAAATAACCAGAATATGGCATTTAATGAATGTAGTAATGGTACCAATAGTTATTTGAACCACAGCCGCCATTACCAAATAGCTACACAAGTCATTGCTTTCCCTGAATCTACCACCAAACATATACCACATGTTACAGAAGGCAGCCATCCTTAATACTTGTCGCATTGTCAGAAGGTTCCTGCTGATGAAAGAGGACGAAGTAGGCTTTTATTATCCACTACCACCACCCTCCACATAGACATGCTGCATTTACTTGACTTCGGTCCGCAAGCGTGGTTCAAACCAGCTCAGCTTGTTAGCTGAGAAAAATAAAGTACATAATAAAAATAACGCGCACACTCAACATAGCCCCGCCTTAAGGAAACCCTGTGTCGCGGGTGCCACGGACATAAATATAGACAACCACAAATTACACCCAAAGTCACGAGAGCAATAATAAAATAAAATTCTAAAAATAAATTTCTCCCAGCCCGGGAATCGAACCTGGGACCTCGGCGTGGCAGTCCGGCATGGTAACCGTTTGACCACGGAGACAGTTCAGTATATACATATAATAATATTAAATAAGAAAGCTTGAAGCTTTGACAAGCTTCTATATTACCTAGTTATTCGAATAAGTATCTACTACACATAAGACATAGAAGAGCTGCGCCCAGTATAGATTGTCCAACAATTAAAAAACCATTATTTTATCTTTTTCAGTACAAGACAAAACAACCTTCCAGGCGTTCCGTATCGCGTTAAACGTGATGCTTTCGCAAGAAACTTGCGGGTACCTTGTCGTCCTCATGTACGCCGGTTCTATCTTCGACCAGGCAACGAATAACATTGGACTAAAACTCAGCCCCAACAAGCAAACCATTATTGTAGGTGTCATACAGCTGCTTGGTTCTGTAGTTGCCAGTTGCATTGTTGAGAAAACTGGACGGAAGGTAAGCTTTTCTGCTATACTACACATGACCTTTCTCTCTTTTTATTGTAAAATACCTTTACTTAAGTAACCGATTTGATAATAATGAGATTTGATAACCGCTGTGCAGCCTTTTCAAGTGGAAAGAAATGCCAACTTACGACCAACAAAGGCGTTTTTTAAGAACCTGAAGTATATACTTGTCACTTAAGAAACTCAAGTAAACTAGTGTTCCAGGATGATACAAATTTTTTTGATAGTTATTTTAGACAATTAATATTTCAATTAATTTCATAGTAATTATTTATTTACATGGTACATTTCATTTACATTAAAATTCGACTACAAGCTAGACATGAACCGTATAATATTATTATTGTGCTTTGATATCACATTTCAGAAGGTAATTATTTTTTTTATATTAAAGTTATCTTTTGCACTGAAGCTCTCCGTTTAAAATAATGCATATTTATTATACACATTTATGCCTTAAAAGTTAGAGGGATACAATTGATAAAAACAATTTAAGGACTGGAGTGCTTCAGGGCATAGTACTTGGCCCCAATACTTACACTTTATAGGGGTTGCCATAAATACGTGGAAAAAGATCGTCTGTGCAACTTTTAACACGCGTTGTTTTAGTGCTACTCCTGATTCAATCAAATTTATATTTTCATTGTTTTATTCCTACCGATTAATATCGATTGGAAAATGAAACTCCTTTTTTACTCGTTTCAGTGGCTCCTAGCCGGTACGGCCTTTGCAACAGGGCTGTCAATGTTAGCGCTCGGAGGATGGTTCTACATCACATCCCTGAACGTATGGTTACCAGGCTGGCTGCCAGTCCTCGCCATGTGCCTTTGCATTTTCGCCGCCGCCGCTGGCTACCAGCCTGTCCCTTACGTTATCACTTCGGAGTTATTCTCATTCCAAGTAAGTTCCCTACATACCAGGGTTCGCAATGATCAAATCGCAAATTATCTTGACAAATATACCTTGATATTTATGAAACAATAAAATGCATTGCAGACATAGCGATGTCATGTCATGTGTTAGTATTCGTAGACGATTTAAACGTGTCAAAATGCAAATTTCAAATAAAGTTTGTTGTTTTTAGTCCAAATTTAAAAGACAAAGCAAGGATAATTATCGGATATATACCAGATCGTTTGGCGTGCAGACGCAGGATCGGGTCCGGTCAGATCGAAGGAGTTTTTAATTGTTCCATCTTTATATTAATAATTATAACAAACTAGGGATTAATTTCACTAAAGTAATTGAACATCATGATAGTAAAACATCGTGATATACAATAAAATTAATGTTATATACTAAATTATAATTGTAACTATAAAAATATGTTATCACTTGCTTTTATTATGTTACTCAAGATTTGTCAAAATTGCAACAGATTTATAGAGATCGGCTACCGGTCGCTGTCGAATTGTGACTTTTGCGACTTCGGGATGAAAGTCGGGTCAATGACCGCTATTGACATGCTAAATGGCACAAACTTGAGAGTACATTTATCTTTATGTAAATGATATACTTGTTGGCAAGGTATAAATTTATTTATTAAGATAAATAGTAGATATAATATTCAAATCCATCCAACTTTTCTTTCAGCACCGCGGCATGGTAACTTCCTTCGTCAGCAGTGTGGACGCTCTAAGTGACTTCCTTCAAACGAAAGCCTACGATCCCCTTCTGAAGTTGCTCGGCATCCACTGGGTCTTCATCTTGTTTTCAATAGTTTGCTTCAGTGGCACTTTCTACACAATCATGTGGGTGCCAGAAACAAAAGATAGAACTGTGGAAGAAATCTACGCCCTTCTAGAAGATGGGAGACAGAAAGAGAAAAGAAAAGATGTAGAAAGTGGGAAACGACAAGTTAAAGTTGGAAAAAAGAATGATAAGGAAGGAAAGGAGAATGACGAAGAGGTTAGCAGATTGTGATCTTGTCTAGATCTGTTACGTTGTACTTATTTATGTGATAGACTGCAAATGTTGCAATGTTACGTTGGATTTATTGGACTTTTGTACTCTTTTGGATTATTTTAGGTCAACTCGAACCATACATAGATGACAAGACGACTGAGTCAGAACTATGAATCTCGTTACGATTTTTTATATTACTTGTGTATTAGTACTTGTGTATACTTTATTTTTATTTTTCCTACTTTCTTTCCTTTTTGTGTGGGTATAGATTGATTGATGAAAATACAGAGATGAGCAGAGGGTTAAAACCCCATCAACAACCACATCACAAGTGACAAACGGTCAAATAGCCATTTTAAATAGCAAAAATAGTGCACAAAATTCTAAATTCTCAAAAATCTAAATTCTTAAAAAAATATAGTTTTTTATGATATTTCAAAACATTATTTTGTCACTTAGCCGCATTTTAGGTAGCGGACGGCAGTAATGGTTTTAACTCATTTCCGCCCAAAATCGGGAGCCGAAACGGCGAATACGGAATTTGGTATAATTCCATACTTCTTGCAAATTTCGATGTAAAAAATCTTTTTGGACTAAAACGAGGCTACTCCATACCTCGCAATCCAGTGAATTCTAACTACTAAGGTTACGCATTACGATTCGTATGAAAATCAATTCAAATGCATACGATCTAACGATTTTTTGTGTCGATTTATGTTAATGCGATTTTCAACGAATCGATTCAATAGATAGGCAAATCGAATCAGTAGGCAATAAATGTTTTGTAATAACATCATAAAATTTGAACAAAACCGATTTACAACAAATATTTAGTTGTGTTTTTGTCTTCGATTTCGGGTATTAATGAGTTTTAACACGATTTAAACCCGGCGATAACAAGCGCTGGGTGCAAGCAAAAGATGAGCAATCATCCAGGTATTAACCCGGACCCTTGCTCATCTCTGGGCAAATTGTAATATTCATAATTTCATTTTCTTTCAAATTTCATTTAATTAATATTCGTGGTTTTTTCGCCTGTCATCGTTTTTTCACCTTTCGTCATTTTTTCCCCTCATGTTGCTCTTAATTTTTCTTCTAGGACATTAATATTATGGTTCTTCATGACGACAATGGTTCTGTAACTTAATTTTAATTTAGAATATTTAAAGTTTCTAATCCAAAAGTCTACAAATTCTTTACAAATACGCCTCCTGACTCCGATTGTGATATTTTGACGAATTACTAACTTTTAGTGTTTAGTATTATTAGAGGATAGTGGTCTGCAAAGACAATAAAGTATTTCTATTTATAAGAATTGTTGCATTTTATTTTTAACCTTGTTAAATCTACTACCACTGGAACTGTGGAGCTATCCAAAAATTCAGGCTGTGCCAAAAATCACAAAATTCCTTACAGCTTCTATGTAAATTATAAATAAATATTTGGACATCGTACACGTTGCTCTGATCCCAGAGTAATTGTGCTTTAGAAATAGGACACGTACCACAAACACCCAGACCCGAGACAATATAGAAAAGTTAGTTTCTACATTGACCCGGTCGGGGATCGAACCCGGGACCTTAGAGAGTGCGACACCATGAAAACCGGTGTGCAAGCCACTCGATCAAGGAGGTCGTGAATATAATGAAAAACCGTTAAACGCACAAAGCCGATATAAAACGTTTTAGCGACCCTGCATGGCCCAGTCACACAATCAAACTTCACCGCGAGTTAACTTGCGCAAGCCATGTACGCTTAGGCGATATATCACACTGCAACGCGCCCCACGACAGAACGCGGGACGCGGAATAGCGCGCGGTGGCGGAGACGCAGATCTGCATCTGCATCAACGCGCGGTTTAATGAAAAGCGGGCGGGCGCGAAGAAAAGAGTTAAAGTACTCGCTTCGTAGTTGATCGCCGTAGTGATTGAACATGTAGCTGAGACCTTCCTTTGACAAGGAAGGTCTCAGCTACATGGTTATGGTTAATAATACAGAACTCATTCAGGACGCTGCAGTTATACTGTCTATTTGGTTGGTGTCCCTATCTACCCGAGGGATAGGGTTTTCCGGAGAGACTACGGGCTCGACGGCAAGACAGGGTACGGCGGGCGTTCGGGCCAAGCCCTCCGCCAGTGATACGCCTTTGCTTTTGTCTCTAGCGGACCCGGACTTGGGGAAGGACTCGCTGGGGTTTGTGGTTAGCTGCAGAGACGGACATGTTTGTCTGCCCCGGTTTTGCTTGTAACGGGGCGTCTGTCTCGTAAGCAGCTAGCGCGTCTTAGTAGCGATCTAGTTGAGGGCTTGTTTGCGAGGAGACGCGCGGGGCACGTGAGTTGCCCTTTAAGTTGGAAGCTATGTCCGTACATTGTCGCAGGACACTGCGACTGGCATCTCCGACACTAGCCCGGAAAGCTAGTAGAGGATAAGCTAGATATCCTCCGGTCCCTCCAGCCGTTTAGGTTATTGGGAACTGGAGAGACGACGTTTTTCGGCGTCGGGAAGTGAGCGTGCCTTACAGCTCCGCCAGCAATGAGAAGATTTGGTAGTGGACTCAGAGTCGACGGCTTAGCGGTGGCAACTGCTGGTAGTGCAATGCGCAACGGGAAGTGAGCGTGCCCACAGCTCCAGTACCTATCTGGAAAATTCCCTATTTTCCAGAGGGTACTGTACGCACACCCGGGGGACTCAACCGAGGCACTAGTCTCTCGAAAAACCGGATGAAGTCAAGTGACAGAGGTCGGTGACCCTGTGAACCCTATGCACTGGCTGATCTGGGGTCAGAACCTGAACTTGTAAGGTTCCTGTGCGCGCACGGGTTATAGTGTCCTTCTCGTATGCCCTAAGGGTAGGTAGGGAGGGTCACTATAATCAAAACTAACATAGAAAGATATGGTGCTTGTCTATTTGGGTTTTGTTTACTCAAATAAAAAGACCGCGAAGATATTGGATACATCCCTTTTTACGAACCAGATCGACAAATGGATAAATAATTTCAACTTCATTACAAAGATTTAAGAAAGTATGAAAATAAATTTGGTCGATTTTCAATAGCAAATATAAATTTATCGACGTCGAGATCTATTGTAGAAAACTGAACATGTCCTTAAGGTTAAAAATCTGCGCGGTAGTGCGGAGCGCAGTGTGCCATACCCTGAGGTTCGCTGCGCCTCTCCGCGCGGGGGCGCGGTAAAACACCGCGCGCCGCGGAGAAGCGTTCGATTGTGTTCGATGGCGCGTGTTTTCCATACAAACTGAGGTACTTCAGTGCAACGTTAAAAAACGCAGCTCCGTCGCGGGGCGCGGTGCATTGTGATAATCGCCTTAGAGTCTGTGATACCGAACTATGGTACCGTCGTTATTTCCGAGTCCCAGAAGCGCCCAGTTACACGACGCGTCTACCACGCTTTCACGTACATTAATGGCGAATCTGAATTCTATATACTAGCCAACAACATTTAAATTCCTCTGAATAATATAACCGTGCGATCGCCGCGCGGTAGCCACGCGGTAGCCGCGTCCGCCGCGTAGACCAAAGACAAACCACGGGACCTACCATAACCTTTCCAAAAACAATCTTATTTCAATGTAAGCTTAAAGTAAGCTTATTATAATATTACTCATATTCGTACCATGACGAACCTGTCAACCAAGTAATGTATTATTGCTTGAAAAATGATTGAAAGAACGAATGATTTCCCAATATTGTCTATTCCTTACTAAAACTCTGAAAGAAATAACGCTATGTGAACTATTTAATGCCACTTCTTTTTTTTCTTTTTTTTTTAGTTCCGAATCGTCTTATCGTAGTATATACAATGTTTAAGTACTTAATGTTATTTGCATTCAGAGAATTTTGACTGTTAAAAAAAGAAAAGTATGTAATAATAAAATCTATTAAGATTACGTTGTTTTCAATAATTTTTCCGCATTTTCATGAAGAAAAATAACTAAAACAATTAAGTCGTGATTAGTGACGAAAGACACTCAGTCTATTAGGCGTTTTATAATGACTCGACTCCATTTTACAGGACTAGACTCCAAAATTAATACTGGGGGTTCGAGTTTTTATTAATAAGACTCAGTCGTTATACTAAAAGACTTGAACGACTTTAAAGACTTAAACGACTCGAGTTGTTATTAAACCCGAAGTTCATAAATAAAAATGAAATAAATAGTATGTAGTAAATAATCACGTTTATTTACTTACAATAAAAATCGTAAAATAAATACCTTGTGGGTAGAAATAAAATCACACCAATTGGCTCATGACTCGCGACTCCCGAGGCTATGAGGCGCCAGTCGTTTGAGCCTTTTTAATCGTTTTAAACCTATAAGTTTTTAAGCTTCCTAGTGTTAAAAGACTTCGACTCGCATTAGTGTTCAGTTTTAGTCTTATGACTCAAGACTTGAGGGTTAAAAGACTAGACTAGTCGTGAGGCGTTGAAAATTAGTCGAGGTTTTTTAAAAGGCCTGAAAAGACTGAGTCTCTTCATCACTAGTCTTAATAGTCACGTTGTGAATTCGGAATTATAGTCTAGTGACAACTGTTAGCTTTGCCAAGGAGCCTATAGGTGGCGCTGTCATAATTTTACGAAATTAACATAGCGTATTTTTATTTAACGAGAGATTATTTCCTATTTGCTATTAAATAAGTTCAACTTAACTTTTAATCATTACAAATCAATATTAAGACAATAAAACTGAAAATAATATTGTTTCCATTGCATCCGTGTAACTATTTTAAGAATGCTAAATTTGACGTAAGAGCAATATTACTTTAATGTCAAAGTCGCGTCATAGTGAGTGAATGAATAGTCACAAAAAGCTGCCAATAAAACATCATAGTTTTAACATTACAATAAGCTTACTTTAAGCGCGTTATGGTGCGAAAAGTCAATGTAAGGTTTAAGTAATATTATTTTAAGAGGTTGTGGTAGGCCCCTAGGCTCCCCCCCCCGAAGGGGTTCCCGCCTTGTCGTGGCGGGGGGGCTCTAGTAGCCGTGGTCGATTTCATCCCACGGTGAAGCTAAGAGGAACCCACGGGGCCGGCCGATGGTGCTAGGCTGGCCCGAGGAGGAGGGCGTTCCGCGCAGGGCTCGTTTGGCCAGCGGGAGACCGCGCGGATTCGCGAGGAGGAGGGTCGCGGGGGGAGAGACGTGTCGGTGTGTCGTTGCCGCTCGTCCTGTCCTCCGCGACCCTACACCGCTTTCAATGATGCAGTGGCGGCGGGGCCGCGGGGAAGAGACGTGTCGGTGTGTCGTTGCCGCTCGTCCTGTCCTCCGCGGCCGAATGTGGGTGGTTGGCCCGTGGTGGGCGCTCCAAGGGACTCTCTTCGGAGAGTCCGCGCGGAAGCGCGTTAGGTGTTGCGGCGGAGCCTGTCATCAGATCCGCCGCGGGGGCTGGGGGAGCAGCCACTGAACTTCACAGTTGAGTGGATGCTGTCCTGGCCCCCCATGGCCCCTGTGTAGCGGACTCGGGGGAGTTCGTTGCCCAGCATAAAGGGGCCCGGGATGGAAGGCTCGTCTGGTGTTCGGCGAGCCTCACATTCGGAGTCGGGGGACCGATGTGTCTCCCTTCTCGAGGAGGGGCTGCGCAGGGCGCGGCCAGCCGCTGGTGGGGGCGCGGACGAGTGCAACAGCGTACCCGTACCCCCACCTACAGCGGAGAGGAGGAACACTCCGGGGGTTTAGTGCGGTCGGGCTGCTCCCCTTCAGGGTTCAGCCCAGTCCCACATAACCCCGGCTCTGCCCCCGCGGGGGCGGGGTATCTGTAAGCAGATTCCCCCGGATTAACCAAAAAAAAAAAAAAAAAAGGCCCCTAGGCTCGCCCGCGCGCCATATTTGTTTACTCATTCAAAAGTCGATACAACACAACGACTTTGCTGCTGCGCGGTTAAGTGACAAGTGTTCAAATAACCATATTTAAATAGCAAAAAAATAGAGGACAAATACTCTTTTACAAACAGTTAAAATTGGTTAACGTATTCGACGTATAGGAACTTACCCTAACGATGCATAGCTGAAATATCATTAAACAATTCCAATATTCTAAAACTGGGTTATGGTTTCGTATGATATCTCAAAAAAATATTTTGTCATTTAGCCGCGTCAATTTGGTTGGTTCCGCATAACAATGGAAGTGTTGAATCAATCACTTCGTAAAAATATATAGTAAAATTGAAGATATTACACTTATTACCATACGCAGTAAAACCACAATTCCTGAACATTTTCACGATAGAAAAAAAACACAAAACTCACCTCGAAATTTTATAAAAAACACCATCGATTTTTTTATATCAACTGAACTAATTAGAACACGTACATATTATAGGACATACATTTTTCAAATGACTTTAATTTCGTTTATAAAAAAAATAAATTCCGAAAAAAGCCAGTGTCCCTGTAAAATTAACCGTAATAGTATGGTATGCATATTTTTAACCGACTTCAAAAAAGGAGGAGGTTCTCAACTCGACTATATGTTTTTTTTGTATGTTACGCGATAACTCCGGTATTTGTGAACCGATTTTCATGATTCTTTTTTTGTTTGAAAGGAGGTACTTCCATAGTGCTCCCATTTCATTTTGAAAGAAATCATCCACCTCTAAGGATGGCTGTTCACGCATGAAGATTCATTTTTATGAATAGCGCCTAAATTTTCTTAAGGAGCAATTATTTTAATGGTTGATTTCGCTATTTCTCCAATTCAAGGCGTTTTTCTCTCAATATTCTTTGAGTAGTGAGAACCGATTTTCGTTATCTCCAGTGTCAAGTCCTGTATAGCGGCGAATTTCAGGATATTTCAATAAAACGTAGCAAATAGACGTAATTCCACGTACTTTTGAGGTCGGTTTTTTTAGTACTCTGCACTGAAATTATGCTATAACAGTTCGGTCTCTAAACACATGTATGTGGTCGCCACTACAGACGGGGCCGCGCGGCGTGCGCGCTATATTCGTTTCAAATAAACGCGCCCTAACGCAAGTGCTTTAGCTACCTACTTAGAGATCACAGCAACGTATATGGTGTTGTCTAATGTTTATTATATGTATATTTTTTTATTATTATTAATAGCCTTTTCTGCTCATTACACACACGTAGTTCATTTTTCGAGATTCATTAGCATCATCATTAACCCTTTGATACGTCACACTATTGGGTTCTTCTCAGGCGAGAGTTTAGGCCATAGTCAGCCACGCTGACGCGCTGCGGGTGGGTACATCACACATTTTTCGAAAACGTGAGCCTTCGACGCGCAGCTTTCCTCACAATGTTTTCCTTCATCAAAAATTCATGGTAAATTTGAAATTAAATTTCGCACTCAAAACCCGGAATTGAACCCACGACTTCTACTTGAGAGACAATAGATTAAACCTACTACGGCTTCATTGAATCAACATTGGAGTAAAAAATGGGCGTAAAAACTATTGTAGTTGAAAACCAAAAACAAGAAACATGATGTTCTAAAAGATCTCAATCTCTCAAATAAAAAGAATAACATCCAATGCTCCAATCAATTTATTTATCGTGCTTCTGGTCCGGCTCGGTGACCTCGTCACGCTGCCAGAACTCCACGAACTGATGTTCACGAGGTTGCTCGACAGTAAGTAAAGGAGGCCGAATCGTGGGATCCACAACCTTCATCGCCTCGATCAGATCTTGCGTTGACTTGTACGCTGATATTGTGTATTTTACAAACTCCCTGTACAGCAAATAAAGATGGCATAGTATAAATTACTTATTATTATTTTATTATGCTGATGGTCCCGCACAAGGTAAATCCATGCCCTATCAGTACTCGGACCGCTCAAATAAAACAAATTAAGAAAACTTTGTTTTCCTACATGAAATAAATGAAAAATTTTCTTTATTTAACCATGCCTAACAAAAAAAAAACGTAATGTTATTCTCATCTGATCCCGTACGACTAATCCACCGCCAATTAAATACCAACTGATTCTTTCTCCATTTTGCAACTCCCAACGGATCCCCTCTACGTAATAAGTAATAAGTTTTAATATCAAATATTCATTTATGGAACAATTGTGATCAAATGTTATAATTCTCACAGACAATTTTCTGTTTTTGTGACAGTTTTATTAATTTTGACATAATATTGCAAGTCACAAATAACAAAAAATCTATCTTAAGTAACATTTAAAATCTGAATTTTCCTAAACGGTGACTAACTGTGATATTCCCAGTAAAAAGTTGTTCAGTGACGTATTTGTGCCAATTATTGATTGCTATTTCTTTTGTTAATCGTCGCCTTGTTGGTAGGTTTGTTAACAGTAATTTATATTCAATTATTTGCAAAGTTGCGTTATCTCTAGAGCTTTTAAAAGATGTTCTTGTTGACTGCACAACAATACCTACCTATAAACATGTAAGTAGGTGTCAGGGTATCATAACATAAATAAAAATATTTATTCTTAATAAAAGAGGATCCGATGGGAATAGAAAATAATATAAAATAAAACGGATCCACGAGGGGATACGTAGTTACCAGGGGATCCGTAGGCACCTCAGTAGTGGTCTCATTTAAATTTGAAGAAAAAATTCCATCTCTAAGGGTGGCAAACTAGGGGATGAATTTTGTTTCGCGCACTTTCCGGTAACCGATTTCAATGAAACTTTGCAAATAGATACATCTCCACGAAATTTTGAGATCAATTTTTTTAGTAGACTATACTGAGATTATATGACTCACATTTCACACAACGAGTTGATTGTGTGTACACCAACATCTCTCACTCAACATCTGGACTTACGGAATAGAGATCTGGAGCTCAGCTAGAAACTCAAATCTCGGGATATACAGAGATTTCAGACCATCTTTAAACTTTGAGATCATAACCAATTTAGAAAACTACGTTTCGGGAACTCGTCATCTAACACCCCTAGTGTTCACCGCTGGGCCACCAAAGTCGTCAAAGACGTAAATAAATAAAAAACGTGCAACTAGCCTTTCATATTTAGTAGGTATCGAGAATAACTTCAGTACACTTCAGACACTTGTACAAACAACAATAAGCACGTCTACTTGATGTCATTTTTTAAACATCGAGTGAACACTTCAGTTTTATGAAGAATCGTTTTATGCGACGCAAAAGCACTTCGTGTTTATTCGAATTCATGCGTTCGTATACGGCGAGCGGCGGGCGTTTACGCTGTCACGTTTGTATGGAGTTAAGCCATTTTTTCTTAGTACATTATGCTTCAAATGTCTAACTCCACTTTTTTTGCATAGAAGGTTAAAAATGAAAATATACTATAGCTCGTAATATAGTAGAGCTCGAGTTCGTCCAGGGAAGTACTGCCACCTTACCTATTTCTGCCGCCAAGCAGTAATGTTAGTTAGCATTACTGCGTTCCGATTTTGAAGGGTTGTTGGTGAAGGGGTGTTGGTGAAATTACAGGCACATGAGACTTGTCAAGTTATGTCTCAGGGTGATGGGTAGTGCTCCTCAGATTTATGCGATTTAAAGCTCTGACTGGCATTGTAACTATTATGGACAGGCGTGTGGCTTACACTCAGGCGCACGACTCGTTCATCCCGTCACTTGATATAATAAAAAAAGTACATACTAACATAAGCAAAAAAGAAATTCACATACAATGAAATAATTAGATATTTCATTGTATGTTACATAATTGTTTTAATACACAAGAAGCATATAAAAAAGAAACACCAACATCGTGGGTATCAATTAGGTAATTGCAACCAATGAAGAATGAAAATTACTTGAACATTGTTGCAGCGAACAGCCAGTACCAAGTAAACAACTATGATAATTAAAATTGATATTAGTGTAAAAGACATGGCATAACATTTTCGTCTAGACGCTCTTCTTTTAAAGTTGGTGAAATAGGACTACGTGACTGCTAGGTCAATGTATATGACAATTGAGTTTGGTTGGCAGAACCTACCTGCACCAACACTACTTGTAAATATTTAGGTACCAACCTGAAATAAAAGGCTTTGATGAAGACAGCTGGCTGGTACTCATGGCCGCAGCGCTCAGGACCAAAACTCATGATGCCCATTAACCGATTTTGCTGCACTGCTGGCGCACCTGCATCGAACTGACCACAAATTATTTTACACACGCGGTAGTACACAGTAAAACATGGAAGACGACATCTGTATGGACTCTTTACTGGCTGTGTGAGAGTTGCGGGGATTGTATCTGTCCACAACCGGATAGGACTTCAGAATATGGAATTGTAAACTAAGAGGCGAATTTAAAGCTGATGCTGAGCAGGAATGTTTCTGCCATCGCGGTTTACAAGGATTTGATTTTCACTGTAGACTAACTTTCGAGTAAGATAGAAAGATGCCACATGAAGTGTTGAAACCACTGAAGAAAAAAAAAGCGATGAAAGTGTTCGTGGAAGTGATGGAAAACTCACACATTCTTAATTTGACAATCTACAAAATCTTGACAATGATTGGTCGTAGTTTCAAATTTAAAAAGAAACAACAAATTCTGTGTTGCTAAAAGAATTTAAACTTTGCCCCGTTTAATAAATTTTGAAAATTGAAATTTATTAAAATCCGACTTACCGATGATATGAAATACCACCGGGTAATATTATTAGTGTGGCTATTATTTTTGCACTTCAAAACAGCACAATAAAGCATTTTTCAGGAATTTTAGAGAATTTGCATGAAAGAATGATACAACCATACCTTTATGGCGGACTGAGCTCTGATAGGTCTTTCGAGACATATAGTTGGCACGCGTCAGACGCTAACTAACCACTTCTACTGTATTTATTGTTCTGTGGTTGAAACGTCGCGAGGCAACGGAACATCGGACAAGGGGGCCAGGAGACGAAGCAGGGAGAGTTCGTTAAGTCGAGAAGCGGTTCGTTAGTACGCGGCCGCGTTACTTTGCGACACCGCATTGCTCGTGTGGCACTCGGTACGTTGAAATCATAGGCAGCGCTCGTAGGCCCCTGATTTCTTAATTATTATAATACGTATTTTGTGTTTCAATATTCTTCACTTTACATCAGGAAGATCTCACCAGACAAGCATCTCTGCTTCCGTTCCGAAGCGATGCGCAGAAGAAGTCATCTGTGAACATGAAGCCGTTGACGAGCTGGTACGCGTCCATGCAGTAATGCTGAGTTCGGACCTTCAGTCGAGCGGTTAGGAGGTCTGGAGTGTGGTCTCTGAAGGCTAGTTCTGAACCCTGGGTACGTGAAATCATAAAATAGATAGATTCATTTCATAACTTTTTTATGATACAAGTGACGAGACGAGCAAGTCGTGCGCCGGTAGTAAACGACACACCGATCCATAAAAAATGCAGTGTCACTTAGAGCTGTAAATCGTAAAGATGTAAGGGACGTTGCCACTGTCCTCCTGAGACATAAATTGACAAGTCCTTTGTCAGCATTACTGTGTTCCGGTTTTGAAAGGTGCTGGTGAAATTACAGGCACATGGGACTTGTCAACTTATGTCTCAGAGTGACGGGAGTAGTGGCAATGCTCCTCAGATCTTTGCAATTTAAAGCTCTGAGTGGCCCTACATCTATTATGGACAAGCGTGTAGTTTACCATTAGGCGCATGACTAGTTCGTCCCATCACTTGATATTACAAAAAAGTCCCGTAGCCTGTAATGTCACCATTTTCACCAGGACCCTTCAAAACCGGAGGGCAGTAATATTCACATTTCGGCTTGGAGGCAGAAATAGTAAGGTGGGAATTCTTCTTTGACGAACTTTCACAAGGAGCTCTACTGCTATTAACTTTGTCGCTAGATGACAAAGCGGGATGAGAAAGAAAAGTGAAAAAAGAAGATGGCTAAAAGTCCCTTAAGAGAATATATTATATAGAATAAAATGTCTTTTTTTCTAAATATTTTAATCTCTATAAGACTTCGTTTTGTTTTGGCATTAGATAGAAGGAAATTTTGGGTTTTTATCAGGCGCCATAATTTCAATCCATCATTTTGTAAGCAAATCATTTTAATAAATACCGTGAAATGAATTCCTCAAATATATTCACAAAATGTTTATAGTTATTAATTACCTTTCTTTTAAGAAATGAATCAATTTTTCCGGATTTAAATCGCGTATATTTGTTTTTACAAACAAACCAACGTTTCGGGCCCTTTACAGGTCCCATGGTCACGGTTGACTGATGAGACCTGTAAAGTGCCCGGAACGTTGGTTTGTTTGAAAAAACAAATATACGCGATTTAAATCCGGAAAAATAGTTTCATTTCCTATTTGTAACAATCGCGAAAACCTAAGAATTCGATACCTTCTTTTACTTGTAGTATTCGCTAAAGATTGAATGAAAACTTTCTATTGTACATACATACTTAATCTATTTCAAAAACTTGTTTGCAAACGTTGAACGGAAACTTTTTATGAAATAATAACATATTAGGTATACTGTCTTTTATAAATGTCGTTTGTGATCAATTCGCATGATGTTTTCCTTTACTATAATTTGTTGTCTGAAGAAAAATGTTTATGATCACTGCTTCTTCGTTTACGTTTTTTCCGATACAAAAAAAAGTTGCGACCGTTTTAGTGCGTTGATGAAGATCAATTTTCATCAACGTACTAAAACGTGGTTTCATGATTTTCCGTCATAACGTTACCGTGTACTCGTAAAATCACGTGGGGAATTTGGTGTTCACGTTTCCAATATCAAGGGAATTTATATTGTGCGCTGTGTTGAAAAAAGAAAGCAAAATGTAGTTACCCTAGTGGCTCCCCAACCGGTGATAACGACGAAGCTCTGGGCATACGGTTCCCTGGATCCGTCATAGATTTTAATCAGGTTCACGTGCTTGTTAAACTCTGAAACATTTTTTTTAATAGGATCACGTGAACTATCAAGGTACTCAAGAGTAGACCTAAAAAAGGACGTTTTCTAACATCTCTTTACAAAAGGCCCAGTGGAGATTATTATGATAACATGTCCCTGCCTCTCGATCCAAGCACAATGAACCGTAGATAGATAGATAATAGACCTTATTACTCATATGCAAAAAAAAAACAAAAACAATACATAGAGAACTTAGTACTAATGTGGGCAAAGGAGGCCATGTCGCTGAAAGCGATCTCTTCCAGGCAGCCTTCGAGGCAGAGGAGAACTGAACAGAGGGAGACGTAGTGTGCCAGTGATAAAAATTGAAATGTATTATTAAAAACTAACATTATCGTATTATGAAATAATAAATGACCATAATATTATATACCGACGTATATATTTATTTACATACATAAATATACTTAAAAAACTTCTACTTAGTACTACATATACAGACTAAGTTGCAGACTAAGATTGAGCCAGAAGATGCTACGTAATGCAGTTTTAAATATAGGAATTTATTTTACGATTTAGAATATCGAATTTCAGACGGGAGTTCGTTCCATAACTGCGCAGCCTTAACAGTAAAGGAGTTTTTAAATTACTCTGAGCGGGTGAAAGGAGGAACCGTATTAAAACGGGAAAAATTTGAATTCTGAGGTTAGATGCGGTAGTATACTCTTAACTGCACATATTCGCGTCGATTTCGCCAGGTCTGTACGTACCCTGAAAAGTTGTCATTTTGCAAATGTGGTCTTATTACACTAAGGACGCGCCTTAACCTAAACTTGTGAGTAGTTTTACGCGAAACAAAAACTTGAGTTTCTGGAAACCACTAGTCATCGTAATTGCAATTTATCATAATTACACTCCTGGACACATAATTCGAGCCACCTTGCATTTTTACCCTTAAAGGGCTAGAATATAAAAATATAGTTAGCATCGAAGAAAAAGTTTTCTCCGGTTTTTTTAATTCATATTTTAATTAAGGACGTTTAATATACCAGTTTCAAAGTTGCATAATAGCATTTTTGATCAATCAAACATTGTTTAAGCTAAGCATTTAATATTGAAAATGCAAGGTGGCCCGAATTATGTATCCGGTAGTATATTTGCTATTCTGTTAAAATCTTGTTGCAATGGCAGTTGAGTCTCAGTGGAATGGCAAATGTTCATTCATGCAATTACTAACGATCGTTGTTGCTTTACTAAAACTACCATACATATCTTAATTTTTATCTCGTTTATTCAGCCATTTATTTAATTTTCCCTACTTTGTCATTTATATCTACTACAATAAAATTCATGTGGACTGAGGATATCTATCATTATTACGCAAGACCTCCACCCCAAGTCTACCAAATTGAAATCATCTCAGTTGTATGTCGATACAGTGCCATAGGCAGGATTTTGTACATTTGGTATTCTGATAAAAGACTTTATTCTGATAAGAGGCATATAGGTGAATTTGATTTGGTGAAGGCGAAGATGTAGAGCCTTGAATACCGCCCTAAAGTTGCCTGCTTATCGGTATTTTACGGGATATATCACGGAGAGACGTAGACTTGAGTATCTGTATGTCGTGGATATTCCAAAGATTCGCACGAAGCGTTACGCTTTCACATTGATATGGCTAATGGCTATGGAGTGGCATTCTCTGCCTGCAGACTTGTTGCCTGTTGAACGGTATAGCTTGGTGCATGGACGTCATCATCGCTTTCCATCAGTAATGTAAGTGCGCGTTTGATCTCCATCGTGTGCTGGAGGTCAAACGCGCACAAAAGGTCAAACGATATAAAAAAAAAGTGATGATTAGCCATCGAGCTACTATTCAACTGTCATTGCAATTTTTTTGGTATTCTGCTCTTCAATGGTGGGTCGATGTTACGCCATCGACCTAATATTAATAATCGATAACATTAATGCACTACGGTGTATTATGTAATATAATAGAAACTATATTTAATTCGCCGATTAAGCGAGATAAAAATTAAGATAATGCATAGTAATTTCCATGGTAGTTTAAGTAAGGCAACATCGATTGTTAGTGATTGAATAAATGCCATCACCGCCGTTGCACTGACATTCTATTAAGTCTCAACTGCCATTGCAAATAGATTTTAGCAGAATAGTAAATATTATCATAATTTTAATACAATTTCAGTGGAGTCTCAGTGGAATTATAATGACTACTAGTTTCAAAAATTAGCGGAATTATCAATAATACTAGCCATTGAAGAGTAGAATACCAAATAATTGCAATGGCAGTTGATAGCAGCTCGACGAAAATCCTCGACTCTTAACTTTTAGCAGAATACCAAACGTACAATAGTAATTTTTAGGTAAGTTTTTTGTACTCAATTTTGGTGACAATTTTTATTATTTAATTACTCGAATATTAAATAATACTTCATGATGATGTTCTATAAATATATAAATAAAAATAAATTGTCACCAAAATTGAGTACAAAAAACTCACTTGAAAATTACCCATAAAGTCTTGCCATTTGGCACTGTATCGTCATACAACTGAGATGATTTGAGATTAGCGAACGTGGGGCCCTGATTGATGTCTATCAGATACGAGCCATGTCTATTAGAAACCTACCAAGATTATCGGCAAGCTTCAACAACGCGATGTCAGCATGTGGAACTGGCTCCTCCTCGAACTTCGGATGTCTCACCGCCCCAACCACTTCCATAAGCTGTCCCCCCTCGTGCGGCCTGCTGCTGCCCACGCGCACTTTCACGTACTTGTGTAGAGTCTTCATTGGGGATACGTGAAGGACGCTGATAGAAAAATATTGTTACTGTCCTTTTCCTTTTGTAAAGATTATAATTTACCTTTTTTTATGATACCAAAGACGGGACGAACAAGTCGTGCGCCTGTCTATAACAGTTGCAGTACCACTTTAAGTCACAAAGATCACCACCCTGAGACATAAGTTGACAAGTCCCATGTGCCTGTAAATTCACCGTTTTTCAAAACCGAAATGCATTAGTGCTCACATTAAGCGATTAACACACCGTTCCGCGCCATGCACCGGTGTGCGTAGCTGCGTTTTTTAACCGAAATACCTCAATTTGTACAGAAAACACACGCCGTACAAAACACACTGACAACGCGTTTCCGTGTGCGGGGCGCATGATAATCGCCTTACTGCTTGATGGCAGAAATTAAATCCCTGGACGAACCCATAAATAAGGAGCTCTAGTATTACTGAAGGGTGAACTCTTAGAAAAAGAAGAAAACATAATGGCTATCTGGCGAACCAGCAGCTTGATTTTGATTGCCTCTCCCGATCGGAAACTGCGTTTTTTCTGAGTCGAGGCGTATAATTGCGATTGACAATTGGCCGATCGGAAACTTTGACATTTCAAATCGGAACGATAGTTGATTTAACTCACAAATGAAAAAGATATAGTAGGAATCAGGTTCATCTACTCGCTCGGAATCCCATCTGATTTCGAGAATACCCGATCGGTTCGATTTCAATTTGAACCAAAATCAGCATGCAAGCCAAAAGATGATCTACCGCACCCCTCGTGGTAAAATTTAATTCGAATTACTTAATTTTTTTACTCTTTGGATATGTGACAAAATAACGGGCGTTCCCTCTAATGGTGCGTTCCCACGGCCCGTCATGGCAAACGTGCCGATTTGTATGGACGAACCCGAGAAAAGGGCGAGTCCGCCGCGGGTAGACGCGCGTGGCGACGCGTATTCGAATTTGTATCGAGAGCATGCCTATGCCTTTGAAGTTATCGGGCGAGCACGGGCGCGCTCGGGCGGCCCTCTTTCCAAGGCGCGTTTTTAAGAAACTTAACGTGTGAAAAGGCTGCGAAACGGGCTGTGGCCCGTGGGAAGCCGCCTTAATTCGTATAACTTTTTAGGCAATATTAATTGACTTATAGCGAAAATATCAAAACACTTAAACATGTTCATTGTTTTTGTCACGTGGAAGTTATAAATATTAATACACATTATGTATAATGAGAAATTGTGAGAAATTGTATAACTCTCATAGTTGAACAAGCGTAATAAAATGAACTAAACAACTGCTTAAACCTTTAAACTTCTCTCCTGAAAAGTTGTAATTCTGCTTAAGGAGTCTTACACCAACAGGTACTTACGGAACAATTAATCGTGAAAGAAACTTTGCATGTTTGAATCTTTCAGGCGCTCCGAATGAAATAAAACATAATCAAAATAACAAATAAGTACATAGATAAGACAATGTCGCGTAAGCCACACCGCGAACGAAACTAAGCTAACTAAAAAAATAAAAAATAGATAGCCTTTATTTGGCATGCATACATTTGACACAAAACTAAAAAAAATACAATTAAAATAAAAAAGAAACCATGGGACTTGTCAATTTATGTCTCTGTGTCGGTCGCAGTGGCAGTGCCCCTCAGATCTTTGTGATTTAAAGCTCTCAGTAGCACTGCAACTGTTATGGACAGGCGTGTCGCTTACCACCTGGCACTCGACTTGTTCGTCTCATCACTTAGTATTATAAAAAAACCTTAACAATGGCCAGCTTTAAAAACAGGACACACGTAACATTAATAAAATTGGCGCGAAAACTAAAGATAATAAAGCCTCCACCAGACTACATACAAGACTAGTTTTTTTTTATAATATCAAGTGACGGGACGAACAAGTCAAACGCCTGATGGTAAGCTACACGCCTGTCCTTATGGACCTTACGAACTGTTATTAGTTGCAGTGCCACTCAGAGCTTCAAGTCGTAAAAATCTGAGGGGCACTGCCACATTAATGTTCACATTACTGCTTGGTGGCAGAGTTGCGGCAGAGACGAACTCTTTCACAAGGAGCTCTACAAACATTTTTGATCATGAAACATTTTTAGGTGAGTTTTGAATGTTTTAAAATCTTTTGACATTTCGTAACTAACATACACAAGTATTTTATTTTTAAATAATAAAAAAATTTGCAGACGTCCCATTCTGAGGGAAAAAATAATTGGTCACGTTAACCACCACGCCTTTCCCTGAATAGGGTAGCTTGAGGTCCACAACCTCCTCCTCCTTCGCTCCACTTTCGCTTCCTCCACTTGTAACATTTTTTTATTTATCTACCACGAGTTCCTTAGTATTCTTTAAAGATATAACTGGTTGAACATATACCAATGTCAACCTTTCCCGATTATTACAATATTTATTAGGTAATACCCACTATCCTAAATATTTTATACAGGGTAAAAAAATAATTTGGACTTAAATGGGAAAACTACCTTAAATGCTTAAGGTAACTAATTTTACTTACGGATTCTTTTATTTTTCATAAAATATGCATTTTATAAAAATCATTGGTTTTAAGTAAGTTTAGATACCTGTGTCGAAATCAAACAAAGTAAAAATGCAAATAAACACTCACCTTTTATTATACTAATCGATAGGATTAATATTAAGGATAAAATCTCTCCAATAAACAATGGACCTTACGATTAAGACGATCGTCATCGTCTAATGGTAACCTACCACAAGCTCGAATTTTTTTGCCGAAATAACGTTTGTCCGAATTTTCATTACACCGAAAACCGAATTGTAACAAAACCGTTATTCTTTCAGAATACGTTACGACTTGATAAGGTGGCCAAACTCTTTGAACGCATCGTAGCAAATAGAATCTTGGGACACCTATTTATGGAAGGATCGGATATTTCGGATCACCAGTTCGGATTCCAAAGCGGTCGGTCGACAATTCACGCTATCTTACGAGTAAAGACTCTTGTAGAGTAGACAGTTTCCCTAGGTGGGGTGGTCTTAGCAGTGTCTTTGGACATCGCCAATGCTTTCAACTCCCTACCTTGGAATACCATTAAAGAGGCTCTTAGGTATCACCAGATACCAACGTACCTTTGTAACGTAATTGGGGCATACGTTGGTCAATGCTAAAGGTGAGACTTTTGAAGTAGCAGCTCGCACTGCTACGGTAGGACTGGCACTGGTTGTGGACAGAATCAAGCGCTTATGTATAGAAGTAGCCCTTAACAAATCAGAGGCAATCTGCTTCCGCGGACCAAGAAAAGCACTGCCACCGGGGTCCTATATAGTAGTTGATAGAGTACGTATTGGTGTAGGGTCGACAATCAAATACTTGTGTATTGCCCTTGACAGCCGGTGGAATTTTAATGCCCACTTTCGTCAGCTAAGTCTAAGATTGATGGGAGCCACAGCAGCCCTGGGGTCATTGTTGCCCTATCTCGGTAGACCTAACACCACCTGTCGGAGCCCCTGTTTGTGTCACTTGTGTGCAAACCCCAGAGGCCGATGGCGATCAAGGTCATACGGGGCTACTGTACAATATCTCTAGAGGCGGCTTGCACTTTGGCAGGAACTCCGCCTTGGGACCTGGAAGTTAAAGTCTCTCTGCTTTGTACTTCTGGCGCGTGGAGTCGCCGAATCGAGACGATAGGCCTGCACCTAGGGAGGTGGAGGTCTGTAAAGCGGAGCTGCACCAATTAATGCAAGAGGAGTGGCACCAGAGGCTGATGCAACCCAGCGCTAGCTTTAAGATCGTCGGGGCAGTTCGTCCTATACGTGGGGCGCACTGTAAGTTTCCGGAATGAATAAGAAAAAAAGTACTATAAATGGTGAGAAATTAATTTATTGTTTCTCAAAACATTCGCTGTTAGCGATAATGCATTTTTTCATACGAATGAACCAATTTTGAAAACATTTATGCCACTCTTCCGTGACAATCTCTGAAGTATATATTTCATACCCTTCGACAGCCTCTTCAGGTGATGAAAGTCGTTGACCGCGTAACTGGTTCTTAATTATTGGAAATAAATAAAAATCACATGGTGCCAGGCCGGGACTGTACACGGAATGGCTCATAAGGTCAACTTTTGATAGGGTTTGGCATGATAGCCTGTTAAACAAGCTTCCAGCTTACGGAATTCCTGTTGGCTTTTGCACATGGATGGGCGATTTTCTGAAGGATAGGTCAATCCGTGTAGTTGTAGATGGTTACTCGTCTGCTCCTCATGGTATAAATGCCGGTGTACCTCAGGGATCTGTCCTCTCCGCCACTCTATTCTTGCTGCATATCAACGACCTGCTGCTGATGCCCGGTATCTTTGGGTACGCAGATGACAGCACAGTGGCGGTGAGTTATGTGCCAGACGCCCGAGACAACAGTGAAGAGATCCGGTGTAAGCGAGAGGCGATGGTCACCCGGTTGAACCTGAGTCTGAAAGCTGCTTCCGACTGGGGAGATGCTAACAGGGTCAGGTTTAATGCGGCTAAAACACAGGCGTGTCTTTTCTCATCAAAACGGAGTCCCCTACACCTTACTCCGACTTTCCGAGGTGTATCCGTGCCGATAAGGGACCACCTTGAGCTACTTGGTCAGGACTTATCATCCAACCTCAACTTTGGGCGATACATCGAGTGCTTGGCAAAAACTGCTGCCAGAAAACTAGGCATACTTTTCAAGGTCAGGCGGTACTTCACACCTGAACAGCTTTTAAATCTGTATAAAGCACAAGTTCGATCCTGTATGGAGTACTGCTGCCACCTTTGGGACGGCTCTGCCCAATACCAGTTAGCTGCCTTGGACTCGGTGGAGCGTAAAGCAAAGAGACTTATTAACAATAATCCTCTTGTGGAGTCGAAGTTCCAAAATCTCGATCATCGCAGAAAAGTAGCCTGCTTGTCGGTTTTCTATCGGATACATTTCGGGGAGTGTGCGCAGGAACTTTTCAATTTGGTTCCGCCCTCACCGTTCCTCCTTCGGTCGACTAGAAGGTCCGGAGCACTCCATTCTTATGTCGTTGATATTCCACCTATTCGCACTAAGCGCTTTGCCTCCTCCTTTCTGATTTATTTTTATTTATTTATTTATTTATTTATTTATGATAACTTGTTACATTATTAATTCATAATCTTAAACTTAACAGTATTTTACAAACTAAAGTAAGTTTTTCTAAATACCGACGATTAATCGCTAAGCGGTTTTAACAATAACAAAAAGAAAAATGATGAATGTATGTTGTGTTTGTGTGAGTGAATGGTATGATGTCATGTGCGATCATGATATACTAATCCTATGCGTGCGACCTGCGTAATGATAGTGTCGTTGCAATGTGACTTGTGTAATGTCTTAGTGTGCGTTAGTTGTCAGGTAAGTTTGTGGAATCGAAAGATGTGTGATAAAGCGTGTTTTATTTTAAGTTTGGACTTATTGATGGACTTATTGATGCGTACGGCAAAGGAATGGAATGCTCTGCATCTGTATTTCCCGAAAAGTACAATTTGGGGCTATTCAAGGCTAGAGTGAATAGGCATTTTTTAGGCAAACGCGTCCCATCGTCGGTCACATCGTCGCTTAACATCAGGTGAGATTGTGGCCAAGTGTGTGTCTATTATATATTAAAAAAAAAAACTTTGTTCACCTTCAAAAATTCATTTGTCAGTCCGGCCGTGTGAGAACTGGCATTGTGGTGCACGATGATACGGCGTTTATGGCTCCGCTGAGCTGTTAAATTACACTTGAAGTCGTAAAAAATCATACTACGAAAATTTTCACGAGTTAAATCCATAGTGATGTAGACAACCAATTACTAAAATGACACCACAATGTAAAAACAAGTGACAGTCAAATGAAACAAACTGTATTCTACAGCCAAAGAGTTCCATTTTCAAATGTTGCAATTACTTTTTAAATATTGTTTATGTAAGTGGCCAGTTCCGGAAACTTATAGTGCGCCCTATGTACTTGGTTCAAGACTACGAATTGAAAAGATCAAGTCCAGTGACCCACAAGTAGCTATAGCGGGTACTCTGTGGGCCTAGTTTCGGTGGCGAAAAATCTGGGTGTTCTTGTGGATGGTTCTCTTCATTTCGAGGGACATATCCTTGAGACAGTCCGAAATTGTTTCTATCGCTTGAAGGTATTGTATCGCGTGAGAAATTTATTAACGTTGATTTGCGTATAAAACTATGTATGTGACTCTCTAATTCTGTCTAAACTTAATAACGCCGATACTGTGTTTGGAGGGTGTCTACTTTCCCATACGAGATGTCTTATCCAGCGCTTGCAGAATGCATGCGCTAGGTATTGCTTCCTAATTCGATCGGGCGCACGTTACTCCTTTTCTGAGTCACGTCGCCAGCTACATTTTGCTATATTGCTGTTTGGGGTCATTAAGACCAAACAGGCATCGTACCTTTATGACAAGCTCAAGTTCCCATCCGTGCACGTTAGACATGCCTCTCGTCTCCAAGTCCTCGACACAGAACAGCGAGCTTTCGAGGTAGCTTTCGCTATGCTGAAATAACCTACCGCCAGCAATCAAAAACGCTTCGTCACGTATTACTTTTTAAAAATTACTTAAGGCGTATTTGTTTGATATTCAGCAATCTCCAGCATAGCTGCCGATGTGTCGGAGATGCAGGCGTTTTATTGTTAACTTTGGCTAGTACTAATAGAATATCTGAATGCTAATTATTACAATGTCACAAATTGAGCTATTATTTACAATTACCTTATCATTCACAGTTGCTTTATTATTTACAATTGCAAACAATGTAAACAATAAAATTACACTTTTACTTTACAATTATACTATTATCCATAATTATATCAAATTGAACATGTTTGTGTCGTCTACTGTGTTCCGTGGCATGAGTTCGCTGTTGCCGAATCCACTGAAAATCAGCGTCACCGCCATAGATTTAGTATATAGGTACCCATAGATTGGCAATGCAAGTGAAAGAGCGTTAGTATACACGTATGTTAGAGCGAGATGGATAGACGAGACCACTTTATTACATGCTATGAGCCTGTATGAACCTAGGGTCAGCTGACAACGAAACAAATTTCATTTATTTTTGAAAAATAAATGGTTTGTGAAAATGTGAAATAGTGTTAAACAGACGTTTATTAGTCATAGTAACGTGTTCAGTGCCCGGATGTAACTCATATAAAAAGGAAAACTCGCAGAATTGTACATTTCACATGTAAGTACTATTTAAATTTTTAGCTGTCTAAAAGCACCACCACAAAAGTTTTTATATAAATATATCCGTAAAATTATACCATTCAAATACATTAATAACCCAAATGTATACGATTTTAATTAAATAAGAAATATCAAATACGTGAATTTCTGAAATTCATAACCCCACTTTCATAGAGATTGACGCAATCGATAATATGTTATCGACGTATCATTAACTGAAAAAAAAGAAAGGCAAAGGTGTGGTTTGCATACAACCGAAATCATCTTCATGCTTAATATTATTGAATCAGAAATATCTGGATTTAGTACTTTATATTTAATTAATATTGCATTAGTGCATTATTTTTTGTCTACATTAAAACAAAAATTTCTTTTAATAGCGTAGTTGAGGCACCCATTTAATTATTTTTTTATTTTTTATTTATTAATTATTGTTGTTGATTCAGATTTCCTCAAAACATTGAAGTACGACAGAAATGGCTTATAATGCTAAAGAGAGAAGACTGGGTTCTCAAAAAGTTTTCAAAAATATGCAGCAAACACTTTGAGGAAAAATGCTTTTCCTTTAGAGGCAAGCATAGAGTAAATCTACGTTCTGGTTCTGTACCCACATTATTCATATGTACGTATGTCTTACAAATGGATTTTTGTGTAGTGCTACTCTCGTCAACAACCTGAAGTATTGGAGACGAGAGTCTTCAAATTGGTAGACGATTAGCGATTAGCGAAACGCGATTGCGAATGATTTCGAAATTCGACTTCCTTAGTAATTACTAATCCTGTCATTCGAATGACAAATTAGTACCTACTAATTTTCCTATTCGAATAATCGGAATGATCATTCATTACTAACAAAGTTTCTGCCCTATGCGATTTTGATTTGTTTAACACAAGCTGTGCGTACGTTAACAAAGTATTATCTAATACTTTTTTTTAATAAAACGAGTTAATTCGCGTAATGTTACTTTGCTGCTATAATGTGCCATGTATGTGTGTATAAGTCATTTTAGTTGTGTATGTATTTTGCTACTATATTTTTAACAGTAGGGAACTGTTTTGCTTATATTTCGCTTTTACAAGCTGTTTATAGCCTCAAAAATAAAATAAGTAAATAATCCATCGATTGCATAGAGCACAACGATACTCGTGATCACCACGCCCCCTCTCGCGATCGCCCAGTTAAAGTGCTTTCACGTACATTACTGGCGAATCTGAATTCTATTTACTAGGCAACGACATTTAAATTCCTTGGAATAATACAAAAGCGCGGTCGCCGCGCGAAAGCCGCCCGGTCACCGCACGGTCGCCGCGTGGCCGCCGCGTAGACCAAAAACGAGCCAGCCTCACTCGCGCACCCGAGACGCTCATTTAAGTTAAAACGTAAAATCTAAATAAATAGAGCGTATTTTGCCATGACAGTTAAATGGACGCGGTCGCTACGCGGCTGCCACGCGATCTCCGCGCGGCTTGAGCGCGATGAAATTCGTGTCGAATAAACGCGCCCGACCGAACGGCAGGGGCATTCGGTATCGGTAATCGTTCGACTTGAGTCGAATGATTGCGCTTAGATTCGACTTAGGCGAATGATTTGCCCATTCGAATGATTAGTATTGGTAACATTCAAAGTCGCGCGACAGTATCGCTGCAGACGCGCGTCTAAAAGTCGCCATTTATAATCGCTGCTATACATATATTTTTTACATCGATTAACAGAGTGTCAGCATCCACGAGTGTTTGTTCACGGATACGAATACGAAACGAAAAACTTACTAATTAAGACAATGCGCAGCTGTGACGATCCAATTCTGATCTATAATCGCTCCCGCGCACCACAATCTGCCATTTATTATAATAGCAGCCATGTAAGGGAAGTTAATAGTGTCCGTAGAGTTTCCACCTCTAATGCGCAACGCAGCTTTGCCGAGAGGGTCAACGTTGCGTATGCGCAAGCCGTCCACGTTGAATTCATCGCTGCTGAACTGCCGGCGCCCGTCATTGTTATTTACTTTGAAAAAAGATAGTGGTGACACATAAACATATATACCAGACATTCAAACTTTTATGTCAAAGAACCAGAATAACAAAACCTGTCATATAATTATAAATAGCGCAATTGATGTAACAAGGCCACGTCTGCAAAATGAGAACTTTTCAGGATAACTTTTTTATGCTCAAAAGGAGAATTTTCAAATTTCACATGTACATAATTTGTTTCATGTAGATCTTATTATTGTGACTATCAAGAGATAAAAGCACGTTTTTGACGTATGATCACGTGTGGTTCAGGGCTTTATTACGCCAAGGGTACAAAATAATTATATTTTGCATTTTGTTTTTATTTTGCATTTTTGCGTCTCGAAAACATTTTATTAGTCCTACAAAAAACACAATACTTATAAAAAATATCAAAAATTCATATATAAACTGAAAACAAAATATTACAATAACTTTGGTTACATTAATCTAATAACCAATTTACGCTAACATACGTTTAATTTCAAATACGCGGGATGTCCCGATTTCGGGGACCTAATATACTTTGCCTATGTTATTTACGAGCTCTACAGTACTCCCGTGGAGTCAGTAAGGTGCTCTACATGTATTAATCCCGCTTTTGTGCATAAATTATTAATAACAGTAATGATTATTACCTATGTTTGGGTGTGTATGTGTGACCTTATCGCAATAAACTTACATCCGAAAGGATTTTTGCCACTGACGCCACTCCGTGATTTTGCAACGGCATTCATATAGAAACTACCACAAAGCAAAGCCAATGAAAACCGAAACATTATTTTTAAATCAGTGCTCTTGTTAAACGGAAAATTCGAATGTGAATATACAATAATACACTATCAAGTTAAAATTTTATGATCCATTTTACTTTGTTGTGAAATTATTACTGATATGGAAAAAAACACTAAAGAAATCGTCGTTATTTTTATTCATACTTTCTGATAAAAAGTGTTTCTGTTGTACTATTTACTTTGTCCTAGTTTTTACTTTGCTCAGCAAACTATGAATATATTAAGGTAGCAGTATAGAAAAATTTAAACGCGATCCAAATTGGAAGCCGCATAATTAGACTAAATGAGACACGGAAGTAAGCTCAGCTGCAATAATATATCTTGTCATCGCATCTTTAAGCGATAAAACCGAATAGGGATTCCGTGGATTCATGCTGTTTCGTATTCGGCACACCTTCAGACGCAATACACCCAAAAATGTGGCTAAGGCCCCGGGCTCGTTGGCTGTAGTGTGAGCCTTGACGAATTTAAAGCCACAAAGACTTCCTTGCTTGTTCGCAGTAAAAAACAGGGCCTCACATACTTGCATAAGGTTCTTCATGGTGAGATCGAGTCTTCTTACCTCTTAAATAAAATCGATCTCTGTACAAGGCGTAACTCAGTATACCGAACAAGACATTTTACTTGCGGACGTATAAGAATATGGTCCGGCGCCCCCTGACGGGACGGGGATCCTTCGGCATCACTGCATGCAAGACGGCAATTATGCCCCGGTGTCCTTAAATATACCGCGGTATCCCTATGCACGGTCTCGAGCACATCAAGTTTGACACTTTGTACTTTGGGTCGTTTTTATCGTAAGCGGCATAGAGTTGGATTTAAGTCTTAGTGTAAAGCTTGACGTGCTCTAGACCAGAACACTGTACTCACTCTCTGCCTTCACTCGCCCCGTATAGACGCAGTAGTTCTCGAAAGCCTGCCGAAGCACCCCGAAGGCTACCAAAGCACCCCAAAGGCTACCGAAGCACCCCGAATAGAATAGAATACGTTTATTTGCCAGAATACAGTAATTACAAAGGTCTTAAGTAAAATTAGGTACATTGTATTCAACCTGCAAGCAGATGTGCAAATATTAATGGGATTCAATGTTTCTTTAGTCTCTATAGTTTCTAATTAATGTAATAAATTTGTAAATTCTAAGTATTCTTTATTATTATAGAAGCAATGTGTCAAAAGCCATTTTGTCAATTTTAATTTAAAAGTATGTCCTTGTAACAATTTAATTTCGTTTGGTAATTTGTTGTAAATAATTATACACATGTTGAAGCAGTTATTCTTATAAATTACTTTATGGCAACGAGGTTGGTATAAGAGATTCATAATTTTTGCTCTAGTTTGCCTTTGAATGACTTCACCGCGTGTTTTAAAATATTTGAGGATGAGAGTTGACAAATACGCAGATATCCCTAATGTACATGCATGTTCAGCTTTTTAAACAGCGGTTTGCAACTGTCATCGAACCACGCACCGCAAATTGCTCGAATACACTTCTTCTGGACTTTAAACGCTCTTTCTAAGATTACTGCGTTACCCCATAGTACAAGACCGTAGCTGAGCACGGACGAAACGTAGCCGTGATAAGCCGTCAACGCAGCTTCTCGCGAGACAGTTTGCCTTAGTCTTCGTAAAGCGTAAACAAATCTGTTTAGGTTCATGCACATCTGTTCGATGTGTTCCTTCCAGTTAAGGTTCTTGTCGATTGTTAACCCAAGAAAGTTAAATGTGTCTACTTCATCTACAGTATCAGAGTTGTAATTAATTTTAACCGGTATGGGATTTGAGTTGTAAGATCTAAATGTCATAACTTTGGTTTTACTTATATTAATATTCAAGTCATTGATGTCCATCCAACTTATTACGTCTGTCAGTGCTTTATTTACGTCAGTGTTAAAAGTCGCTTTGTTTTGGCATTTTATTATAAGAGTTGTATCGTCAGCAAATTGTAAACAATTATGATCAATAGCATGTGGGAGGTCGTTAATGTAGAGTAGGAACAGTAACGGACCCAAGACGCTACCTTGCGGTATTCCAGCATTAGTCGTCTTAAGGTGTGATCTAAAAAATTGTTTTTCTAATCTATTATTGTGTTTGTTTTTTGTTAATCTACTTATTTCAGTATACTGTGTCCGATTTTTTTTAAGTAGCTCGCTATCCAATTTTGGGCTGTTCCTCTAATGCCGTATGCTTCAAGCTTGTAAAGGAGTTTTGAGTGATTTACAAAGTCGAAGGCTTTAGTCATATCTAGAAAGACTGACATTACAGGAGTAGAGACGTTTATACTTTCCGTTACAATGCGCAAAAAAGAAGGCTTCCGAAACGTTTCCAAGGTTGCCGAGGCATGCTGGAGGCGGCCGGCTCCATATTTCTAAGCATGCGGCAGCTTTGTTTATGTAATTACGACCATTATCCTCCATCTTTTCCAGTACCTGTCATGCGTTATATATAATTTTTTTTTAATCTACTAGTAGTAGAGTTTCTTGTCAAAAAGGTCAAGCAGCAACGCAAGAATACGGTTCTGAAGGGTACTAATAAACGTTTTCCCAGGGTTCCCAGGGTTCCCAGGGTTGTGGACCTTCTTCGACGTACAAGTGTCATCACAATGTTTTTCTTCACCGAAAGGCTCAGTAAATTTCAAATTAAATTTCTCATAATTATAAGTTACGAGAAACTCAGAGGTTCGAACCAGGAATCGAACCCACGACGTCTGCTTGAGAGGCCGTTTACTTTAATTACTTCCATAGTATAATATCTTACGGGATTCTCATGTGGGGTAAAGCGGCAGACCATACAAACTACATTTGTGTGGCAAAAATGAGCGATTCGTTTAGGTTCTCGGGTTTCTCTCAGAGACAAGTTTAGAGAAACAGGTACAAGTATCATGGCATGACAATGCGTTTACTCAAATATTTTGTATGTCCGTAAAAATATACATAATTTCATTAAGAAAGAAGATATCCGTAATATTAATATTGGAACTAAGTCCACACTCATGCTACAATCAAGAGCACATCAAGCTTGTACTTTTCTTACCGTTCTTACCTTAAGCGGCATAAAGTTGGATTTAAGTCATACGTGTCAAGCTTGAAGTGCTCTTGACCCTGTACCACGATTTCGTTTAACTAAGGTAAACGATTCTTTTATGAGAAACTGTATACGTTATTACAACAAGATTCCGGAGCACATATTAAAATTATCATTTCCTATGTTTAAAACTTACATTAAACATATTTTAATTAAAAAGTCATATTACAAAACTAAAGACTCGGGGTTCAGAGGCTCTAGATTCCACACAAATTTGATTCAAAGTGTACTCCATAACATTTAAGTTTATTTTAAAATAGTAGAAGAGTTTTAAATTTTTATTGAATTGATATTCAATTATTTTTTGTGAAATCACTCCACTAGTTTGTTATATTTATTAATACAAAGATCGAACACTCAGAAAAAATTCCTTCGATCCGGCCGGATTCGAACCGACGTCTTCTAGCTTACCGTGTCAGACGCTATACCAACTAAGCCACGGAACGAACCAGCGGACCTCACGAATTTTTCTATGTGCATGCGTCGTATCTTTGTATTTGGTTTTTTTCAACGACTTTTTAGTCGTAGCGCCATCTATGAGAAATCTATGAAAGTTTTATCACCCAGTTAGATATCATTACAATTACCAGTCCTGGCGAGAGATGTCGCTATTCACTGTATTTTAAATTTTTATTGAATTGATATTCAATTATTTTTTGTGAAATCACTCCACTAGTTTGTTATATTTATTAATACAAAGATCGAATACTCAGAAAAAATTCCTTCGATCCGGCCGGATTCGAACCGACGTCTTCTAGCTTACCGTGGCAGACACTATACCAACTAAGCCACGGAACGAAAGCCTAGTAGTAGAGTTTCTTGATCGTTCTTCTCAGGGAAGTCAGCATAGTGAACGAGCAGTAGCTTAAAACGTATTTTACGTTTTCAAGTGCAAATTTATTTTACCTTAGAATAAATGATTATTTGACTTTGACTTAGAGGCGGTAGGTGAAATCATTAGGCTGCCACGGCTTAATTTCCACTAAATCTTTACTTAGCAAGTAAGTGACTTTCTTGTCTCTTAGTTCCTTACTCCAACACCCAATTGAAAATACAATGATTGAGCTCGTTACCCGGAACCAAACGGTATTATATTGAATAAATACAGTTTTTGATTACATTTTCATATCACGCTTTGCGAAATCGATAAGTGCATGAACTCTATCTTTGCAGTGACTAATGAAACATGGTGGTACAACTTCAATGTTACATGCAATTTCTTAACATTGGACTTTTTGAATAGTGTCTAATATGCCAATTAGTTCCTACAACATTTAATTTTTTTTTGCGCAAAGTAATTTCTATCCTTACACAAAAATTTTGCAACAAAAATTAAGTTTCTAAAAGTTTACTAAAAATGTTGTCTACCTAGTTCTACTTTTAAGTCTCTTACCTAGTACAGTCGTTAAAAGCTCATTTTAACAATTATTATGACATACAACCTTGAATTCATATAACTACCTGGTGTACAATGTTTTTGTTACGACATACATACATTTGTTCATTATTATCATGCAGCGGATATATTTATTTATTTAAATAAGACCAACAACTTAAAACTATATTAAATAATAATAATAACAACTGAGAGCCAATTAAAAATCCTCACAAGTAAATATAATAATAATTCGTTTATTTGTTTAAAACATTGTCGTAACAAAAGATATAGCAAGAGACGGTGCCAGCACAAACATGTTTCACATATATTAAATAACATGCAAATATCTACACATCATTATACATTGTCAGTATTAGACTACACCACAACATGATCTGACATTTTTGTAGCACCCAGTGCACTTGATTGTAATAATATACCCGAATAAAAACATGTATTTAATAACACTTAAACGTAGTTAAAAATAAAAACTATTTTAAGAAGTTTTGGCGATAAGTTCACATTGGAAATTAAGCTATACAACCCAACGTTTCGCGTCCACAAATCCATATAAAAAAATTAATTCCTACAAAAATTATTGTTCTTTACAGCATTAAAATCTAGCCATTTAGCGAAACACATGACGCAACAATGTGTCAACAACGTGTAATCATACACATGAAGTTAGGTAAGTTTTTTTTAGTACAGTCTCTGTATGTGTTCTGTGTTCTGTAGTTGCCTCGCGTTCAGGCAAGAATGCTAACGTGTTTTTGTTAAAAAAAGACTCATATAAAGAAATTGAATCATGACTTAAATCTAAAAGTTACACTTTTAAGCATCGTTTTTTTTAAATTTCTCGTAGACTTCCAAATTAAAATTGTTGGTTTTTTCATTTATTACATTGAAGTAGTGTTTTAGAAATCCTAACCTAAAAAAGCGGTTGTGTTTATATTCTTAATTGTGTAACGGAAGCTCACGCAATGGATGAAAAGCAAAGAAATCAAGTCAGCACGGTGGGTAGTGTTCGGAAACAAATTTTGACAGCTCTATTAGGTAAGTCAAACTTGGGAATATGTGTGATATTACCTATAACAATCTATATAGGGTGAACGTTCTTAAAGTTGATATGCATATTTGTTCCCGGTTAAAAATAGAATGTTACGGTTTTTTTCTTCACTGTTTTATTTGCAGAACCAACTGTTCTTCAACTCGTGAGTTTGGGTGTAATTTGTGGTTGTCTATGTGTGTGTCCATGGCACCCGCGACCCAGGGTTTCCCTAGTGCGGGGCTATGTTGAATGTGTGCGTTATTATTATTATTATTATTATTATAAATTGTATGTGTTTGTATTATATTAGTCTGTGATGTGCTTATCAACAGAATGTCCTGTGCGCTCATAATTTGTTTGCTCTTACTATCTGTGGTTCAAAACCTCTCTTAGATTGTCGTAAACGAAAATTTACAAGACGAGCCACAGATTAAAAAAAATAAAGGTTTTACTTCTTCTGCTTCTTGTTATCATATCGATGACATGCTTACTATAATGCTTGGTCATCATGGTGTAAGGTCCAGACGTATAGGAAAAGAAGGGTGGGTCGTGCAGGGAGACTCCTTTCGTGCACCCGGTTCTGGTTCATACTTTATTAACTTATATATCTATATTTACGTAAAAAACTACTTATAGAGAACAACGAAATATGGTGTTCTTCGATCGATAAATCGCTTGAAATTTTGACCCATCATTATCGATAACGTATTGTTGATAAAAATGGCTTTTACACCCTTTCTTTCCGTATGTATCAAATCAAGATTCATTTCGTATATGGAGTGAGAATTTAACCCGTCTCACGGTGTCCCGAACGATATTGGTAGAAAAAAATTATAAAATTTTGTAAATGTGAAAATCAAATAAACTTAATTTTAATAGATATTACACTTATTTCATATAATTTTCAGTTTCAATACATGCACTTCCTATAATTTAATTTCATATAATTCTCATTTTATGTAAAGCTCTTTTTATATAACAATAATTTTGTATATTATCAGTTCAGATAATTTTTACGATTATTCGTATATCTGAAAATGCCTATTCATTAGTAGTTTAGGGTAGTATATAAAAAACACAACTGAATTCGTTTGCGTTTCCGAACATTAGGTCAAATTTATTTCAGTTTAATATAAAATAAATATAAATAATTAATATAAATAAATAATTATCATAACTTTTTTTTTTAATCCAGTAGCAATAGAGCTCCTTCTGAAAAAGTTGGTCCAGGGAAGTACTGCCATCTTGCCTGTTTCTACCGCCAAGCATTAATACAAGAATTACTGCGTTCTGAAGGGTAACAATGCTGGGGAAATTGCAGGCACACGGGACTTGTCAACTTATGTCTCAGGGTGACGGGTGCAGTGGCAGTGCCCCTCAGATCTTTGCAATTTAAAGCTCTGAGTAACACTGCAACTATTATGGACAGGCGTGAAGCTTATAATCAGGCACACGACTTGTTCGTCCCGAAAAAAAATTGATAATTTTGATTTTTTTGAATGGTAGATGAAACGAAACAAAATTGTAAGATTTTATTTTATATTGATTTATTTTATTACATATCTCATCCAGCATGTATTTCATATTCCGAACTCGAATTACTATTCGAAAACGAATGTTTGCAATCCCTTCCTTCAAATAAAAAAACATTGGGAATGACAGTTTTATTAGGGCATGAATTTAAATGATCTTTTTAAATTTGCAAAAACAGTAGGCGAAAAAATCTAAACGGTTATCTTTTTAAATGATTGATCATCTTTCTCTGAGACATAAAATAAATTAAATCAATCGATATTTTAATCTGTACTGACCTACGCAAAAAATATTGATTCGTATAATAAATAAAGTTTGGCCTCAAAACTAAGACAAACGAGCATTAACTGCCTCCGTGGCCGAACGGTAGCCATGCCGGACTGCCACGCGGAGGTCCCAGGTTCGATTCCCGGGCCGGGAGAACTATTTGTATGGCCTACATTTATTTCTCTCGTGAGTTTGGGTGTATTTTGTGGTTGTCTATGTGTGTGTCCATGGCACCTGCGACACAGGGTTTACCTAGTGCGGGGCTATGTTGAGTGTGTGTGTTATTATTATTATTATTATTATTATTATTATTATTATTACTAATAAAATTTAGACACCTACTTTTAAAACTCAGTAATGTTAATTATGTTTGTGTACTAGTATTATTTAATTATATATAATTTGACCTGAAAACATGTTTGGAAACGCAAGCAAATTGGCTTCTGGCCTGCTTTTTCATATACTAGCCTTTTTTTGGTTAATCCGGGGGAATCTGCTTACAGATACCCCGGCCCCGCGGGGGCAGAGCCGGGGTTATGTGGAACTGGGGTGAACCCTGAAGGGAAGCAGCCCGACCGCACTAAACCCCCGGAGTGTTTCTTCTGATCATCGAAAGCGGTGCAGCCCCGCCAGAGTCGCGGAGGACAGGACGAACGACAACGACACACCGACACGTCTCTCCCCCCGCGACCCTCCTCCTAACGCGCATCCGCGCGGTCCCGATGACCAAACGAGCCCCGCGCGGAACGCCCTCCTCCTCGGGCCAGCCTGCCACCATCGGCCGGCCCCGTGGGTTCATCTTAGCTTCACCGTGCGATGAAATCGACCACGGCTACTAGTGCCACCGATAGACCGTGTTCTTCTCAATCCTCCTATCTCACACTCCCGCTTAAAAATTCGTTAACATCACTGACGTTTCGTTCCGTCTGCCTTTTCGTACGCTGGTGGCGCCCCCTATGAACTCGTCTATTCTTCGCCTTACAAACTTTCCTGTAATTTTAATGAAAGTTCCATTATTACAATACGTAGCACAGAAATTGCTCTATTATAATTAAATATAAATTTAAATAGGTAACGTGTTGATGACTGTTGCGAACGCAACAATTTTTGTAATTTTAACATAATTTCCAAAGCAGTAACAAAACGCTGCTCGTCAATGGCACATTACGTAGGTCTATTTTGAACCAATCGAGTAACACCACATATGTCTTTTTCATCCCTACCACATTTGTAACGAATTTTGTACGTAACTAAAAAGGTCAAAAGGACCGTTCACTTTTAAAACTGTACCCCTTCAGAAACTATCACTGTATCGATTTAACATCACTACTCCTGTAACTAACCAGTCACCTATTTTAAAATATAATACAGTTAACTAAAATCGTCTTTGATTTTACGAGTCGTCGAGCTCCTGATCGTCATCTACTTTGAGTCTGGCGGCTCCAATGACATTTGTATTATCAATAGCACAATGGAATTTGGTACAAAAATATTGAAAATTTCAATATTACTGTAAATAACGCACACACTCATAGCCGTGACGTGATGCCCTGCACTAGGGAAACCCTGTATCGCGGGTGACATGGATACATGCATAGACGACCACAAATTACACCCAAACTCACAAAAGAAATAAATGTAGGTCATACAAATGCAGTGCTAGTTGTTTAATTAGATACACTTCTTATGATTGAAGGAAGTTTAACTTCAACGTACAAATGTTCGTGAAAATATATAAATTCAATAATAAATAATCATCCAATAATTTAGCCACTCAAATAAAAAATCATTAAATGCCTAAAAAATAAAACATATCTTACTTTTAATTATAAAATGAGTCTTACACAATGTACGAGTATATTTTCTGTTCCTGGCCGCTTGGACGTCTAATTAGAAACATTTGAAAAAAACATCTATAGCTCGTTCTTTTTTTGAAATTGAAGAATAACATTTCTTTCTTGATGTTTGCTATTAATTTGGCGGCAATTCAAAATTTGATCTGAATTTAATTTTGTTCAAAATGGGCAAAAATAAAAGTAGTGACGCGTCAACTAGGCAAATAATTGTTAATTTACATTTAGATCAAAAGTGGAAGTACAGAAAAATAGCTGAGCATTTAAATTGTTCTGTGAAGAAAGTTTTTAATGCAATTGATCACTATAAAACACATGGAACTGTTGAAAATGTTCTTAGAAAGGCTCGGCCAAGAAAAACCTCTCCCAGAGAAGATAAGCTAATCGTTCGTGTTGCTAAAAAGACCCATTTAAAGGCTCAAACCAGATTAAAAATTAAGTTTTTTCGCCTGATGACCCCAGAAACATCTCATCAAGACTGATACGCCGAAGATTAGTGGAAGCTAAATTGTTTGGAAGAACCTCTCGAAAGGTACCGCTTCTTACCAAGCAACATCGAGAGAAGCGATTATTATTCGCAAAAAAATATGTTAATTGGATGGTACGAGACTGGAAAAAAGTTTTATTTTCAGATGAAACGAAAATAAACATGGTAAATTCAGATGGAAAGCGCTATGTTAGACGTCCTGTAAACAGTGCTTTTAAATATAAATACATAAGGAGCATAGTCAAGCACGGTGGCGGAAACATTAAATTTGGGGTTGTTTTTCCGGATGTAGAGTTGGTCCCGTTCGGAAGATTGAAGGTACAATGGATCAATGGCAGTACAAAAATATCTTAGAGGACACAATGATTCCCTACTCGGACGATCATTTGCCTGTAACCTGGATCTTTCAGCATGACAATGATCCTAAACACACTGCCAATAGCGTCAAACGTTTCCTTATCGAACAGCGTATATCCGTTTTAGACTGGCCAGCAAATACAATACGGGATTTAAACCCGATACAAAATCTGTGGTATATTGTTAAGAAGAAAGTCTCAAACAAGCGTAACACCAGTCAAAACGAATTATATGAAGCATTTGTTGAAGCATGGAATTCAATCCCCCTAGAACAATGTATGACATTGATTGAATCAATGTCACGTCGTTGCAGAGCTGTTATTGAAAATAAGGAATACGCCACTAAATATTAATTATAAATATTGGTAGGCTGTGGATAAATACTAATTGCTAATAATTAAAAAAATGTTGTTTTTTTACACTTTTTTGTTGTTGTTTCTAATTAGTTGTCCATTATTGTTTATACCTTAAAACTGATTTAAGTGTTTGTCCGTAATGTAATATTGAAACTGCACTTGTGTAGTGGGATGTATATTGTTTTTCTAATAAATAATAAATCGTTGAACCTATTGTTGTCCTATTTATTGTTTAAATTCAAAATAAAAACGATTGCGGTGAAGTTTCTTACATAATGTCAAGGACCGTTTGTAGGGTTTCTAATTATACGACCACCACTGTATTTACAGTTATTAAAGAAAACGAATTATTTTTCTATGGCAGTAAAATCTGAGGAATGATTAAAGGTCAGTTAGCCTATTCTAACCGACATAAGGCTTTTTCTAACCGACTCAAGCCGCGTCGGTGAGTGTGGTGCTTCCCTTAGCAGGTTCATAACTTAAGAATCTATACAAACAAACGGCTTTGGTTGATTCCGCACAACAGTGTCGAATCAATCACTTTGAAAAAAATGTTTAGTAAAATTAAGAAATACTCTGATTACTATACAGTGTGAAAACACGATTGCTAAAAAGTTTTCACGATAGAAAAAAACATAAACTTACCTCGACATTTTACAAGAAAACCGCTATATTCAATAGGTACTTACCTATAATATTATATACCAATGATTTTTTTTATATCATCTGAACTAAATGGAACACGTACACTATACGATATGCATTTTTCAAATGGCTTTAATTTCGTTTGTAAAAAAATAAATTTTGAAATAAACCCGGGACACTTTGCCGCCGACCAACCCAAGCAAATTGAACCGTATTAGTACGGCCAAATTTGCATTCGAGCTTGAGGTGTACCGACTCTTAATTGTAATTATTATAATCAGTACAGAGTACCAAAAAAAACCGACTTCAAAAGTACGTGGAATTACGTCTATTTGCTAAGTTTTATTGAAATATCCCCTAGTTCGCCACTATACAGGACTTGACACTGGAGATAATAAAAATCGGTTCTCACTACTCAAAGTACATATATTGAGAGAAAACGCCTTGAATTGGAGAAGTAGCTAAATCAACCATTAAAGTAATTGCTCCTCAATTAAAGTTAGGCGCTATTTATAAAAATAAATCTTCATGCGTGAACAGCCACCCTTCAAGGTGGATGATTTTCTTCAAAATGAAATGGGGACCACTATGGAAGTACCCCCTTTCCAACAAAAAAAGAATCATGAAAATCGGTTCACGAATACCGGAGTTATAGCGTAACATACATACAAAAAAAAACATACAGTCGAATTGAGAACCTCCTCCTTTTTTGAAGTCGGTTAAAAATTAAAACAAATATTTCTTAAATTCATCCTACCGAACATCGAACCCGGTAACTCCTCATCAAGCGCCTAGAATTATCCACTAAGCCATCGAAATTGTAAAACTTAATAATAACTCACACCCTCATAGCCCCTGGGAAACCCTGTATCGCGGGTGCCATGGACACACACGTAGGTAGACAACCGTGTATAAATATAAATACGTCTCCCGGCCTGGGAATTGAACCCAGGGCCTCTGCGTGGGAGTCCAGCATGGTAACCGTTCGGCCGCGGAGGCAGTTGAGTTGCAGACTTATTATGTATTTGCTTAAAAAATGTCAATATCCTGTTGAACAATTCATTAGAATTACGTTACTAAGAACTGCGTCTATAAGTAGTTCGGTTCTTATGCATATGACTTACCAAGAATTCTTTGTTTGTTCGTAGCGACAATTCCAACATTAACTTACGGTATTCAATTGGGATGGTTGTCACCGATGCGTCAGCTGCTTAAATCACCCACGGGTAAGTTTTTATACCACTTCCTCACAGTTTCTACGATTAATAATGTGCCAAACAACTATACCAATTCTTCATGTAAGGAATTAATTACACATGAGTCGTTGAAACCAAATAAAAAAATCTGCAACAAGCACGTAGAAAAATTCGTGAGGTTCGCTGGTTCGTTCCGTGGCTTAGTTGGTATAGCGTCTGGCACGGTATGCTAGAAGACGTTGATTCAAATCCGGCCGGATCGAAGTAATTTTTTGTGAGTGTTCGATCTTTGTATTAATAATTATAAAAAATGTACTTTGAGTACTTAACGTTAAAATAAAAATACAAAAATATGAAAAATTAGACAAGGAATTCGTCCTTTACAATTTCGAACTGTATAGTACATTTTACTGGTCACTAAGTTGTTCAATTCTTAAGTTTTTCTCAGATCTTAGTACTTTTGGTAAATAATCATACATTTAATTAGCATGGTTTGCTAACGTCTACTAGGCCATAGTTTCCCAAAGTTGACCCTACCGCTCCCATTGCGCCATGAAGAGTCCTCCGGTGGCGGTAGGGGCTTCGGGGTGTATGGTCACGTTAAGCATGACTGACTTAAATTATGGTCTCCAGGTCCAGCATCTCCGCCAATAACCGATGGCACAATATCGTGGATGGCGGCGGCGTTACCGCTCGCCGCGATATTAGGAGTACCCTTCTTCAGCTATAGCTCTGACAAATTTGGGAGGAAGATCTGCATTATTGCTATATCGCTGCTGCATTCTGTGAGTTGTATACATTATTCAAAGTGAAAAATAGACACAAAATTAACAGGAAAATATACTGTTACATTATGGAAAAGTTAAAGAGTACATAAAGCTCTTTGACATCGTCTATAGGAGATTTCAAAACTCACTGTCACACTGTAGTACCCATTTATTAAGAAACACTTTAATTTGGCTTGGAGTATGTATCATTTTCTTCTTTCTTTAGGGAGTCTGGTATCTTATTATAAATAAGGTAATATGCGGTCCTAGTCAAAAGTATTGAAGCACCCTAAAGGAGGTTTCCTAAGGCCCGTGTCCCTTTCGCGGCCCTCGCCGCGTGTTTCTCGCAAACGCGCCGTGGCAAGTGGGCTGCCTGAGCGCGCCTGTGCTCGCCCGTGGCGACCTGCTCGGATTCGCCCACCTGATCGGTAACTTCAAAAGCTTTTCAAAAGCCTAGCTCGCCATACACACTCGAATACGCGCCGTTACGCGGTTCGGCCCGAGGCAACCCGGACTCAACAACAAATCACAAATCGGCGCGTTTGACATCATGGGCCGTGGGAACGCGCCCTAAGAATTCCAAACGTGCGCAATGAGTATTACAGAAAACAGGCCCTGTTTATGTTTATGTACCATTTTTTCGTAGTGTTGTGTTGTTTGATTTTTAACGATCGACACGTGTCGATCTACAAAACGTATCGTATCGTAAATAGTATATCGTATCTATCTATATATATCGTATATGTCACCTTCTTACATTATGTAGGTACTCAATTTGATTTGATCACACCTGTATTCGGATGTCTGTTGCATACAAAACTCGTTTTGTTTGATTACACGTGGTGGTTGTCACGAAATCGAACAAATCTGTAGGCACCTTTACGTAGTCATAATTATGCTTTAATTGTCACAAATGTTAAGTAGACGTAGGCTACCGTAGTGAATAACCCAAAAATCCCTTAAGTAAGCATATCTTTCCCGTGTTTGCCTTAAAAGACCGCCTAGAATTATTCTGTCTTCTGTATCCAATATCCCGTTATGTGATTTTCTTTCATATTTACAGTAGTTACAAATTCCACTAGAAAACCCCATGCCACACGAAATTTTAAATTCCAAGGCCTTGTGTACATCAAAATGTACAGTCGATGACCTCACGTATGTATCCACTATTTGTACTAAGTGCTATACAAATAGTGGATACCTAAGTGAGGGCACCGACTGTACATAATATGTGAAGTAATTGAGACCCAGACAATATTATTCCTATGACCACGTAAACGCCCAGTGTACAATATAATGAAAATACCGCACTCTAATTTAATAACCTTAGGGTGTCCAGAAAAATACGTTTTGTTTTCATGCGAAATTAAGGGCCCCGAATTACTTACATTTTAATGTATATTGGGCGTTTAGCACTTTACCCATTATAGTTTGCTGGATCTCAGGAGGTCAAGTGCTGTCTTTGTGATTCCGCTGGCTCTCTCTACCCATTGATGCTATTCTGCATAGAGAACCTCCAATGATTAAAGATTAGGTTAACAAACCTCAAAATTCTCTTCCAGATATCATGGACAATAAAACTAACATCAGTAACCCCAACATCACTTATAATCGCTCGTGCGATCGGCGGTCTCGGCACTGGTGGATGCTTCGTAGTAATACCGGTCTATATCAAAGAGATATCTCAAGACTCGATAAGAGGGGCTTTAGCCTCTCTCACGATGACTATGTGCAAAGTCGGCGTCATATTCGTGTATGCTGTTGGCATGTGGAGCTCATACAAAGGGAACCAGGCAGTGTTTTTGACAATTGCTGTGTTACACGTGATTGTTTTTTGTTTTCTGCCTGAATCGCCGAACTATTCGTTGAGGTTGGGTAAAGAAAAGGTGAGAGATAGTGAAAATTCTGATTGCACATTGCCAAGAGTCAGATTTGGATGGCTCGTTTCAGAACAATTTAAATCTTAGAGCCTGTACGCATGGCGTATTTTATACGCGCCGCCGACGCGCGGTAGTCGCACGTATGTATCGAATATAATAATAATATAATATAATAAGTTTTATTTATTTTCTCACCACAATATAGGTATGTATATGTATTGATAAGAGATAGCTTAAATTTTAGTTTTGTTTGTTAATTTCATTTAGTTTTTGAAATGAAGCAACTACATGAAATTCTAAGTGTAAACTCCTGTGGCGTATATAAGCTTCTTACTTATAACGCGATGTTTCGTGCGTTTAAATCGATTATACGCGCGTAAAACGTGATACAAACGAGCTTCAAACGCGCTTCTCGCGCGCGTCTGTATTGCATTTGAATGGCATTTACGGGCGTCATCTGCGCGTTGTCGGCGCATATAAAATACGACGTGTGCTTAGGCTCTTACGTGCTCTATTTGAATAGAACAACAACGAATGTACTTCTCCAATATCCATTTGCACAAAATTAAGGGCCGCTTATAGAAGACAGTTTATAGTATTTACGTATTACACTTCCTGAACGCTTCTTCTACAATCGTTTAATTTCAAGGTGCCCTTGAGTACGTCTTAAATAAATGCTTAAATTGGTTCTTGGTACAATGTATTAAGAGTGTTTTTTGTATTGCAAGCATTGGTTTAAGACGTAAAAAGACACAGATTGTATAGAAGTCAACGTATTTTATTTTTTTTAATTAGCTTACCGGCACGTCGGACTTCTCACCTTATATATTTTTTACTGATAGCAAGTGACGGGACGAACAAGATCTTTGCAATTTGAAGCTGTGATGTCCACTTGTACTCAAGTATGTCTGAAACTATGTTTGCAGTGCACAAGACACACTTAATACATTGATTTATTAGTGTGTTCTGAATTTAAGCATTACTTTAAGACGTACTTAAGTTTAGTGCTAGTGAGTGACTTGGTATCTTAAAAAATGTATTTTAAATTTTTAGTGAATTGATATTCAATTATTTTTTGTGAAATTACTCCACTAGTTTGTTATTGTATCATGTTACAAAAAATAATTGAAAATCAATTCAATAAAAATTTAAAATACAGTGAATAGCGACATCTCTCGCCAGGGCTGGTAGCTGTAAAGGTATCTAAGTGGGTGATAAAACTTTCATGGATTTCTCATAGATGGCGCTACGACTAAAAAGTCGTTGAAAAACTCAAATACAAACACACGACAACAAGCACATAGAAAAATTCGTAAGGTCCGCTGGTTCGTTCCGTGGCTTAGTTGGTATAGCGTCTGGCACGGTATGCTAGAAGACGTCGATTCGTATCCGGCCGGATCGAAGGAATTTTTTCTGAGTGTTCGATCTTTGTATTAATAATTATAAAAAATGTACTTTGAGTAGGTACTTAACGTTAAAATAAAAATACAAAAATGTGAAAAATTAGACAAGGAATTCGTCCTTTAAAATTTCGAACTGCATAGTACATTTTATTGGTCACTAAGTTGTTTAATTGTTAAGTTTTTCTCAGATCTTAGTACTATTGGTAAATAATTATAAATTTTTGGCGCCATTACAAAAATAGTTTAGTCTGAAAATATACACGTGGGCCATTGACTTACAATTATATGGACGTCGGGTCCGCGCTAAAAAGTGTCCGCACTTGTAAGGCGCTAAAATCGTATACAGAGCGCCAAACTCCGCTTTAGTCTTCATTTGTTCGACTGACAGCGCGATACTGCGATGACATTACAATTTAAATTTCGAATAGGTTGACTTGGGACATTTTTTTCGTGGTTTTTGTATTAGACCCGTCGTCCATTTATTTGTAAGTCAATGGCGTGGGCCCTGGATTTAACTCTAGTCATTTGAGTAATTGCAATCCTAATAATAAGTAGGTTCTCAATTCCAGAAAGCATCCCGTACAATAGCCTGGCTCCGCAGCGTGCCCGAAACCCTCGTAACCAGTGAACTCAACAAGCTGAAGGAAGAGCAACAGCAATACGAGACCGCGAGCAAAGTCAGTCTACTTAGTGCAAGTAAAGTACAGTCTAGTCTGTGGCTATTATTAATCAAAGATCGAACACTCAGAAAAAATATATATATAATTAACTAAGCTTAGTTGGTATAGCGTCTGGCACGGTATGCTAGAAGACGTCGGTTCGAACCCGCCCGGATCGAAGGAATTTTTTCTGAATGTTTGATCTTTGTATTAATAATTATAAACAAACAAGTGGAGTAATTTCACACAAATAAATATTTATTTATATAATAGTAATAAAATAAATATTTATTTTTATATTTATAAAATTCATTGGAAACACAAAATACTACCGCTAGCCATGTCGTGCGTTTTTGTATCAGACACGTGTCAAATGTCAATTTCAAAAAAATCACAAAAATAATCTCTTACAGAGTACTAAAAAAACCGACCTCAAAAGTACGTCTATTTGCTAAGTTTCATTGAAATATCCCCTAGTTCGCTACTATACAGGACTTGACATTGGAGATAATAAAAATATGTAGGTTCTCACTACGACACTACACAAAGTATATTGAGAGAAAAACGCCTTGAATTGGAGAAATAGCAAAATGAACCATTAAAGTAATTGCTCCTAAATTAAAGTTAGGCGCTATTTATAAAAATGAATCTTCATGCGTGAACAGCCACCCTTCGAGGTGGATGATTTTCTTCAAAATAAAATGGGACCACTATGGAAGTACCCCCTTTCCAACAATAAAAGAATCATGAAAATCGCTTCACAAATACCGGAGTTACCGCGTAACATACATACAAAAAAAAGAACATACAGTCGTTTTGAGAACCTCCTCCTTTTTTGAAGTCGGTTAAAAATAGTTTTGCCAAAGATGTTAACTCTTTAATAATGATTGGGTAACACCATAATTAACTTTTTAAATTGTAGGATTCATACGCATTCCAAGTCTACTTATAAACGTTTAAATTATTTACTTCTCACGGCTGACACAGCTTAGACCCTGGGACCTGTAAAAAGTCTTACGTTGGTTTGTCTGAAAACCAAATATTTACGTTATTTTAGATCCAAAAAAAATTTATTTTCCAATGTGTAGCAATCGTGGAAACCTAAAAAGTATTTATTAAGTTGATACAGTACATAAGGCTCAACTCAAACTGGCGCGGATTCGAAGACTCGTGGCGCGTCATGTTTTTCACCTATAGCATATTCATCTATATTTTCCCATTATTAAGGTACAAATTTGTATTTTGCAAATATGGAATCGAGCGGCTTCGCGCGTCACTTAGGCGCCGTGAGGCGTCAGACGCCGGTTAAGTGGTGATCCCGGCGCACTAATGCGAGCAGCAATTCATTGTAGAATAAAGCTCAATTTATATTGCAGCGGAACGGAATGGAAGCGAATTTTTGTATCTAGTTGGTACGTTACACAATAGATCATGAAGTTCATTGTGCAATGTATAATATCGTTAAATATGTCACCCCCTTCGCCGTCGTACCCATTGCTGTTCCGCCCGAGGAAAGTGACAATGAGGTCGACGATGTAGCACGCGCACCTAACAATATCTATTTACTCTCGCCTTGAAAAGGCCCGAGTTATAACGCTCAGCGAATAAGTCTGCAGCAGGGAATACCACTCTATAGCCGGTCGCCATATAAATGTGGAAGGATAGTAGTGGGAAGGAGTAGTGGGATTAAGGGCGCGTGTACACGCTAAGACATTCGACGTGTCTGCTACAGAAAAGATGAGAATGGTCTTGTACACAACAAGAACTTTGCCAGAACATGTCGTGTCTGTTGCAGACAAGAAAATTATGAGTATGTACACGATACGAATGCTGTCGGAAAATGTCTCAGTGCATTACGAGTCTTCTAGGGTGCCGTCGTTTTACTACCGACTGTGGGAAGAAATATGTTGATTACTAAGTCACACCCGTCCACGCGCATAAACGTATATCCGTGATATACATTATGTATGTAGTCAATAAATAATACGAACTACATGATATAATATGTGAAATTTTATAACTCTCCTATTTTAGCATAAAAAAGTTTTCCATTATTTTTGGTTTGTAGAATATTTACCCTTTCGGCTTTCTCTTCAAAAGTTGCCATTTTGCAAGTGTAAGATGACAAATTTATTACGACTTCTGTAATTGCTTTAAATATTACCAATTTGAATCTTAATAAAAATGGAAGTAAATTAATTTGCTATTCCGCGAACCTAGTGAAGGTTAAATCGTGCAAAATAGCTGCGCTTGTGTTGAATATTTTTTCATGCAGTTAATTATCCCACCCTCCCTCCGCATAAAATTAATAAAATAAATAACACAAGCGCAACTACAGTCACAAACCATCACCAAAAATATACCCGACACGTGTTTCGCCTCTCCACGAGGCATCCTCAGGGATGCTCGACGCTCAGCCGAAGAGTGAGAGTGACTAAGACCGCAAAGTAACGGCTGAATCTATTAATTAATTTTAATCTTGTTTGTATCTCCATTTAATTAATTAAATATCACGGAGAGTGTGCGATGGAATTGCATAATTTATGTTTCAGGATACTAGTAATGCAATCCATGAGCTGAATTTGACCGTGAGTGTCAAAATATGACCTCATATCTCTGATTCAGCTCTGCTTCCGGTCTCAACTCTCTTCTCAGTCTCGATGCTCGTTGCAGAATTGCCTGGAGATGTGTCTCGAAAATGCTGTAAGGTGTGATGTCTTCTGTGACAGTTTTTGCAAGCCTTTTGCCTTTATTTCTATAAAATTTCACACTTGGAGATAAGCAATTTTCTTAGAAAGAAAAAGATTCGATTAAATTATTTTGGTTGATTAGTGACTGTCTCTCTCAATTCTCTCGAGGTTGAAGAAGCTTGGACCATCTCTAGTACTCCAAATCTCGCTTCCAAAAATTTGGTGAAAATTGCTAGTGAAGGTAAGTTTTGCACTTGCAATGAACCAAGCTCTTCTTCCCAACTCTTGTGACCGTGTGTGACTGCGACTGGAATGTGACTCCTTGTCTAACTTGTTGTTGAAACATCGTTGCTCTTCAAATTATTTATACACTTATTATTAATATATATAACAATAATTCTTATTATTTATACTTTAGTGGTATTCATTAGTTCCTTGATCTACTAGCTGACCCTTTTCTCAGCTTTTCCTGATTGAACAATTTAATTCCGCCTTCCCCTTTCCTTCATCGGGGGCGAGACCTAGGCTGGGGTTCCCGCTCTATGTTGTGGATATTCCAAAGATTCGCAGGAAGCGTTACGCTTCCACATTTATATAGCGAACGGCTATGCAGTGGAATTCCCTGCCCGCAGACTTGTTCCCTGAACTTTATAACGTGGACCTTTTCAAGGCGAGAGTGAAAAGGCATTATTTGCATGTGCATGCTCCATCGTCGATTTCATCGTCATTTCCATCAGGTGAGATGAAAGTTAAATGCGCACTTATTTTTTTATTAAAAAACGTTTCACAACATACCGACATTAAGTTTTTGTTCAATGTGAGGATGTTTCATATATTCAATAATTTTTTTGTGCAATTAATTAAAATTGAAAAATAATCTAGTGAAGTAATTTCACAAAAATATAATTATTATTACAATAATATAATAATTATTTAATAATTAAAACCACGGAAAAAAAACAATGGAAAAGCTTTATGTCTCGATTACCTACTACCGATGTCGCCCAAACTCACACATTCTTTCATTTGAAACACTACAAAATCTTAATACTGATTGGTCGTAGTTTCAAGTTTAAAAAGGAATAACAAGTTCTGGATTGTTAATATAATTTAAACTCTACCCTGTTGGCATATTGTTGTTACGACGTTTTGATATTATATTGAAATTTCAATCAATGTGCTGCCATGTAGCGGTTAATTGCTGAACGACGACGAATTGGACTTTTTGATTTAGTTCTCCAAAAAAGAAATTCGTTTCTTGTGACAATTTTTTTTTTAAAACAGAAAATTTAATTTTTATTAAAATAAAACTTTCCGATGCATTGACTTACAAATAAATGGACGACGGGTCTGATACAAAAACCACGAAAAAAATGTCCCAAGTCAACCTATTTAAACGTAGTGACATGTAAAGGAATATGAAAAAGCTAAAACGTTGAATTTAAATTGTAATGACATTGTACTGTCTAATTTTGCTAGCTTCGCTGTCAGTCGAACAAACGAAGACTAAAGCGTGAATGATGCTCTGTATACGTTTTTAACGCCTTATAAGTTCGGACACTTTTTAGCGCGGACCCGACGTCCATATAATTGTAAATCAATGTTCCGATGATATGAATTACCACCACGGGTAAAATTTTTGGTGTTACTATCATTCTGGCAGTCCAAAACAGTACAGTAAAGCATCTTTTTAGAATTTTAGAGAATTTGCACGAAAAAATGACACAATCATGCCATACAAAGCGAAAATGGCAGACTGAGGTCAAGTTGGTCTTTCGAGACCTATAGTTGGCACGCGTCGGACTAACTAACCACTTCTACTGTATTTATTTCTTCTGTGATTATAACAAACATTCACATTTTAATTGGTGAGTTCTAATTTATTTTTTATTAAAATGTTTTGTTTATAGTGTTTATGAGTATTGTAATAAATAATTGAATTATTATTAATTATTATTATTATTATTATTACACCAAGGTTGCGAATTCTTTAAGAAAATTCAATTCTTATTTATTGTAACTAATTCATGTGTTCGTACAGCTAACTAAGAATAGTTATTATTCTAAGACAGCTAATGATTTTATTTCTTATCTATACGGTACCTCAAAATAGCGTCGTAAGTATTGACAAGATTCTATATAATCTTGCCATACAACAATTAGCGAGATTACATTTAACAATAGGAGCAAAGAAAATAAAGATAGCTATGAATTAAAATATTTGTTCTATGTTCGAATGTTATTCAACGGTTGGCAATGTTATTGCCAGGTATTAAGTAGCCTAGAAAAACATGGTAGGTATATATATATAGCGAAAATAATCCGACTTAGAAGAATGGCAATCAAAAACCACGAAAAGTTTACTAACAAATCATATTATTTGATTGGATCATCATCCATTATTTGGAGTCGATGCAGTAAATCTTCTTCAATTTATCTCTTTCACTCGACGTCTTCTCTTTGTTCACTCCCTTCAAATACATGTTATCTTTTACATAATCCGTCTGTCTTTATGATATGTAAGGTATAAAACCATAACACACAATTATACTGTATAAATATATATATACTACATGAAACTGCTGCAATACATATTCTGCTTCTATTTAAAACCCACAAGAAATCGACATTTACAATTCTTTTTTAATTATTTATTTTTTTATTAGTAACAATGAAGAAATTACAAAAACACTCTGTTATTTATTATCTTACATAACATTGTTCAGAGCTATCTGCCACATTCGTCAAAAAGCCCGGGCGCAAAGGTGCCCATCACGCTTGCCGCATTTCCTCGCTGTATGGCAATAGGCAATCTTTGCACCAAGAACAACCCAGTGCGGGAGTCATCTCCACTCTCTCTTAACCATTGCCGGCAAACTTTTTAGCATCGCTACCCTAATAACCCGCCGTGAAGCGACTTACCAAATCTCGACATTTGTCTCGTTGCTTGCGAACAGTGGACTCAGCCGCTGCACCAGCTGAAGTCACTGTGCCACTCCGATGCGAAACTGCAAACGTGCTAACTAGAGGTGGGCGTTTAAACGAAAAGTACTTAAAAAAGTCTGCTTTTTAAAATAAGCACATAAGCACGCTTTTCATTTTAAGCGTAAGCGTTGGTCTGTGCGCTTAAACGTTTTCCTTTTTGTCTTCTTTCCTGCTTTTAGCACGCTTTTTAAACGTACGTTTTAACGTTAAAAAAATAAGCAGTATTTTCTAGTTTTTTTATGTATATATATTAATATTTTTAAATAGCTGTCATAAATAAAAATATAACTCGTTTTTTACAAAAAAACTTACTTATCTTAAAACCTTTAGTGGTCTACTTTTGCTTTTCTCTATAAACACAACGTTGCAAGATTTTTTTAACGTAAAAGTCTATGCGCTTAAACGTTTTTTAAACGATTTTGTTCGCTTCAAACTGAAAAGCGTTTAAGTGAAAAAGCGTTTAAAAAAGCACGCTTTTTTAAAAAAAGCTTAACGTTTAAACGTTTAAAAAAATAAGCAGTTTTTCCCATCTCTGGTGCTAACACATATTCCATTTTTTGTTGGAAAGGGAGGTACCTCTTTGGACGGCAAATTAGATAATGAATCCGGTTTATAGGGTTTCGGTTTCATCCGTTTTCCGTTAACCGATTGAAATAAAACTTGGTAAATAGACGTAATTCCAGAAACTTTTGCTGAAAAAGTTATAAATATTTTGTTTATACTTTTAATTTGGTGGAGTATTATTTTATTATAAATTTTTATTACCACGAAATGCGGACCCAACATTTTTTTTAATACAACACCAAGTGACGGGACGAACAAGTCGTGCGTCTGGTGTTAAGCGACACGCCTATCCATAATAAATCACATAGATCTGAGGGGCACTGCCACTGCACCCGTCACCCTGAGACATAAGCTGACAAATCCCATGTGCTTGTAATTTACCCTTTCAAACCGGAACATAGTAATGCTCACTTTACTGTTTGGCGGCAGAAATAAGTAAGGTGGCAGTACTTCCATGGACGAACTCTTTCACAAGGAGCTCTTCTACTACTAAGATGTAAATATAATGATTACATTAATATTTACTATATTGCGATTACTTAGATGTCTGTGGCGATACCCAACCAGCATAGGTGTGGATACTGGAAAATTTAAATGTACATCATATTTACCACATGTTCGCAATAAACATCTTATCTTAACAAATTATTTAAAAAAAAATTAAGTTGACTTACTGTTAAATATAATTGTAGAATGTTTTGACCTGAACTAGTTTTTAGATTGTAATTTATTATTATATGACATATTTAATACATATTTATTATGACCTTTTGACGATTGCAAAAATGTATATTTTTAATTCATTTAAATTCTCATAAATTGTAACACAAATTATATTCTGATTTTAGATTTGACATTGCTGCGCCCTTACAGGGTTCATGTGGATCTATACCACTAATTTAACACCTATAAATGTAACAACGTGAATGCAATAAATGTTTTGACTTTGACTTTATATACATATTATGTTCATAGTTTTGAGGAAGGTATTTTTAGTTTGTGTTCATTTCTATTGATGAAAAACCTATAAATTGTTTACTCTTTAGATTTAATTCGAAATAAATACATCACCACTGTTCGAGTTTCATATCAATAAATAAATGTATACATTTTCTGTACCAATAGTGCGTGACCGTACCGTGTTCTCGGCGTTACGTATGACGTTGACCTTAATGGCGATGCAGACGCTATCCGGCAGTTTCGCTCTGATGAACTTCGCAGCAGATGTCTTCGAGAGGGTAGATGCGCAATGGAGCCCTAACACATTAGCCTTGTTCATGGGGTCTCTACAATTGGCTGGGTCGTTTTTCACTACAATGTCCATTGAGAGGTTTGGACGGAAGGTGCCTTTTTTCTTTTTTTTTATGATATAAAGTAACGGTACGAATAAGTTGTGCGCCTGGCGCCACTGGACAGGCGCAGTTGCAATGCCAATCAGGGTCGTATTCCAAAACTCTACTCAATGCTCAAGTCAGGATTTAAGCAGACTTGAGTATGATTTCAAGCACTGTAAATTCGACCCTAATGGCAAGGATTTGAGTATGATTTTCAGTGCTCACTGCAATACTCAAGTCCTGACTTGAGTATTGAGTAGAGTTCTGGAATACGACCCTAAGAGGTTTAAATCACAAAGATTTCAGGGGCATTGCCACTGCGCCCATCACTCAGGGATTTAAGTTGATAAGTTCCATGTGCCTATAATGTCACCAAGCTAATTTTGTTATTAATAACAATATGTAATGGCGTGTTCCCATTATGTCGTAAGTTTTATTTATCGTTGGACGACTGTCGCGTCTAGCCTGTTCCCATATCACAACAGTGTCGTGAACGTTTTTTTATTGTTGAACGACTGTCGTGTCTATCTGTTCTCACTACAACATCACGACAATTTATCAGTGCACGTGCAGACAACGATAAATAAAACATAACGACAATAGTAGCTGCGACTATCTGTCGTCACTTTTTATCGTGACCTTTTATTTATCGTCTGACGACTGTCGTTCTATCTCTTTCCATTGTCTCGATAGTCTCGTAACGTCAAAAAAATCATGAACGACATTTAATCGTGTGGTACTATATGTGAACAATATCATTTAAATATACAAAGCATGACACTTTAAACTGCACGACTTAATGGGAATGCGCCATATCACGAATGTTATTTTTGGGCTATCAAAATCATTTTCTAATTGGTTGTAACATAAAAACATCAAAAAAACTTTATTTCACTGCAAATCTTCGCTTTAGTGGTCAGAACAGAAGAAAATGTTGAAATTTGCGTACCATAATGGTAGCGTACGAATTTTTGTGTTTCTCTTTATTTAAAGACAAGAAGGGAACATTATACTTAAAGTCCATGGTATGGGTAATTTTCTGATTACTTTTCTCAGCCTAATTTCGGTGGCAATTTTCATTATTCAAATAAATCTAGAATATTAAGAAATTAACCAAGTACTTATTTATTATTTGCAAACCAAAATAAAATTAAGTCTTTGAAAGTTATTGAAACTAAAGTGAAATTACTTTCTTCATTTAGATGTCATAAATAAAAATTATAAACTTGAAAACGTTCTCATTCATTTCACATTATCATGTTTTTAGATTCCGCTGGCCTGCAGTTCTCTTGCAGTTTCAATCTGCATGATATCGCTAGCGACATGCTTCCTTGTCGGGATGACGTCGAGTTGGCCGCGCGTTGCGGCTGTGTGTATTGCAATACTCGCGTACGGGGTCGGCCTTGCCCCCGTGCCTATGGTTATTATGGCAGAAGTGTTTCCTTTCGAGGTAAGAAATATAACACATGTTACAAATATTTTCAATAAACACTGTAGCGGCAGAGAACAAAAAAGTAATGAGACTGGACCCTCTCCGCACCTCTCTAGAATTAAATACCTCATCACGCCCCGCACATTGACGGTCACATTGACTGAACGACAACAAGGTTGTTCGCAGAGGCAGCTCGTCCTAAGGAACGCTGGTGCAATGAACTCCCACTCCTATCCAACCCACCAAAATAAATTTATTAATTGTGCTTTCACATTATATTAGTAGCCGCAGTATTTTTTTTTATCAATGAACGACAAACATACAATTAGATTTTTTTTATCTTTCTCTTTTATATAGTATAGCATACTGACCCTAGAGTGGAGCGCTTCGCGATGCGCTCCTATGAACCGATTTACATGAGTGTGAGAGAGAATGAGCAATGAGTGCGAAAGAGAAATTTCTTAACGGCGCGACACGTGAAACGAAAGAAGAAGTAGGTATAAGGAAATTTAGCAAGATTTAACGAGATTTTTTGTCGCGCGGATTTTGTTGTGTTGTAAACATTCTTATTATTCAATCGTTGTTAAGAAGCGTAATGTTGTTTAGTGGCATGCGAGTTTCATTTTTTGTTTAAAATATGTATAGGTAAGTGAACGCCTACTGAAATGTCCCACGAGCCGCCTTTGGCTGTCGGCGAGCCGTTTTCGCGCTAAGACGGCTTTAATATTTGAATATATTTCATTTGATTCATTATGAAACTTGTACGTAATATATAACATCATTGTACGTTACTATTTACAATGGCCGTGAATTGTGCTGTGTACGGCTGTTTATTATCATCAAAACGGGTTAAAGACTGAGTTTCTTTCGTTTTCCGAAAGATGAAACGAAGATGACAAACACTTACGTCTGAGACTCATTCAATTATTGTTTTCTCCATTTATTTAGTCCAAAGTACCATAACTTACTAGACGCCTTAACTCGTGAGCTAGTAGACAAAGATTCTCGAATTTTCAATGTGTATTGCCGATAAATATTACGTATTGATTATACCTAATTATTAAGTAGGTAATGATAAACTTGGACACGCAATTTCAATACCTTGGTTACCTTATTTGAAAGTACCTGTCCAAAATACAACATTTTTAAATACTTTGAATATATTTTTAAATAAATCTAATTCTGCCACTTCACGCACACATTTGCGCGTGTGCAGATAGCGCCTTGCTGTATGCAGTAGTAGTAGGTAAATCACTTAATTTCGACCGTTGTATGGAGTGGCCGAGGTGTGTAGCGGATTATGTCAGTGAGTTCGAGTGGGTGCTAACAAAGAGTGAGAAAGATCAAAGCAAATGTACTTCACCTGTAGCTAGCTGCTAGTAATCGTGTATATCCTCAATATACAACAATCCAAAGTGATTAATTAAACACTTTCAATGTTATACGGAATCAACCAAGGCTATTTAAGGTTATATAAACTATTAAGCTTTTAAATAGGACGATTGTAATATTTCACAGATACATAATTCGTTTCATGTAGTATTATTTTTGTGGCTTTCATGTGATAAAAGCACTTTTGACGTGTGATCACATGTAGCTTTGTTATACCAAGGGTACGAAATGTTGTAGTGATAAGAAAGCCTTTGTTGGACGTTTTGTAATTGTAGCGAGTCACAGCAGTCGCTACAAATCTCTTTTGTATATATTTTATAATCTCTTTAAGTTTTAGTTTTATATTTAAATTCTAAATTTAAGAGAGATTACACACGCGCGACTTTAAGCAGCGATACAAACGCGCGACTGCATCGATGCAAACGCGCCATTGCATCGCTACACTTATAATTTATAAGCGACTGCATCGATACAATCTCGCGTTTGTATCAAAGCCGTGCGCAATAGCTATTCTTTTAAATAAGTTTATAAAACACTTAAATTCTTATAAAACACTAGAATTGCTAGAATGTTTAACCTTACATGCATATCCACAAGGTCCCAAAGGCGTGATTAATATTACATTTTAAATGCAATTGACTGTGAGATTTTCACAAAAGTGGAACATTGCAACATCGAATGTTTCTTTATTGCATATAAATAATCTAATATAGTTGGCGTAAATGAATTTTGTAAACGTTAAGATTTCGTTCTACTTGAATATTCTTGGTGCCAAAGCCATTTGTAAACATACTCAAGAACTTTTATCAAATGAAGTCATAAAAATAATGTTAACTTATTAAAAAAATTGTGATACTGTGACGGTACGAACATAAAAAACACAGAAAATCACAATACTAGAAAACGGAAAAAGGCCAAGTCAGATTTTACACATAAAGTATCTTCACAGTCGGCGAGGGTGAGTGATCACTTTACTAGTACAATGAAATTACCAACTCCCATTATTCCCGTGACTTCTGTTTTGACAAATGGTGATAGTGACCAAATAGCCCCGAAAAAAATTGATGCTTCTCTAAAAGTAACCAATATATCTCATGACAAAGATGGTTAGACTGAAGTGAAGAAGAAGCGATTACGAAAGTCTCAAAGTGAAGTTCTACGTGGCACTGCATCTCCCGGCACTACCCAACTTGAAGCATTTAAACGGCGTCAATACGTGCACCTGTATTATGTAAAGACAGGCATTACTGAGGCGCAAGTGATTGCGCACCTGAATCGTCTATGTGGTGTTGGTCTGTGCTCGATTGACACGCTTGGGTCACGTGGAAATTATGGTTCTTTTAAGCTAAGTGTGCCATCTCGGATGTTAAACGACGTAATGTCTCCTAATAACTGGGCTGAGAACTTCTGTATAAAGCCTTGGCTGGCAGAACTTTCGTACCAAAAATGACCAAGTTCAAAAACCGTAGCAATACTAAAACTATCGAAATTTTCTATCAGAACGTTAGAGGTCTGCGAAGTAAGACTGCTACTTTTTATAACAACATCTGTGCGTTCCGCTCTAGTGACATTATTGCCTTTACTGAGACATTTTTAAATAGCTCTGTAGTTAACGCAGAGCTGTTTCCGCCGGGATACGTGGGGATTCGAAAGGACAGAGTTGGTGAAGCCGGCTGGGGAGGCGGTTTACTGGATGTAAAAGACACTTACAAAGTGAGGCTGGTAACAGACATAGACGGTCTAGAATCTGATAATGAGTTATTATTTCCTCTGGTTACTTGTAAAATCGTCAAATTCTAATTACGTGTAGCTTATTTACCACCTAGATAATAATGAAAGCCAATATCAAAATGTATTATCTTGCCTAGAAAACGCTATAACTTTATACTCAACCTTGAATATTGTAATCGTTGGTGACTTTAACTTAAATTCATGTGGTGCTCCTGTTAAATTCCAGTTTGAAGAGTTTGCTGAATTCTGTAGACTAAAGCAATATAATCAAATAAGGAACAGTTATGGAGGTGTCTGGATCTTGTTCTGTCAGATTTAAATGGCTACGATGTCGTAGTACGGGAGGCGATGGCCGGAGCACTTGTACCGACCGACGCATACCCGCCCACCGCTTGAGGTAGTGCTGCGCATGCCGCGCGAAACGCGCCCTCCATCGTCCCCCGGCTTGACAGATCAAAAATCTTGTCTTACTGACTGGAACTTTCGCAAACTTTCGAATATTATGGGACTGTACCGCGGTATTTCTAACTTGGACTGGGCAAACGTACTCTTCCAGCAAGAAGTCGATGTAGGTGTGGAGGCTTTTTACGATAAGTTTCACACCGTTTTTGAACGTGCTGTTGTATCCCTGGTGCATTAGTATCTGCCTTGGCACACGCCCAACATTATAGGCAGGCTCAAAATTAAATTTTTCCACCTTTGAAAATATAAGGCTTTGGGACTGAATTTCAACTGCGAAGTATACAAATATTATAGAAACCATATTAAATATTTAATAAATGTGATACATAATCGATCGATTGAGTATTTTTTTAATTTTATTTATTTAGACATTTATTTCAGGCCACATGACCCATATAATATATACCTTTAGGACTAACATACATACAAAAAATATGACAATAAAATAAACTAAACAACTAATCTACACGTATTGCACATGTCGGCGAAGTGTGGCGCAATCTGGTGTCAGGTAACCGGCCGTGGAATCGCCTATGTATGACAGACACCCTTCGGCCAAAACTCTTCTCTCACGAAGGCCGACAGATGTTCGGTCGGCACACCACAAACGAATTGAAATTTACGTTGTGGCGGGACTCCAACCGCTCGACCCTCAGGGTGTGTTTGGCTTTTAGCCTGATGTACTCCACTATCTCCTCAGATTTCGTAGAGTAATGTAGTCTCGACAGGTACAGCAGCGTCGTCGGTGTTGCCGAACGGAGCAAAAAGTTCGATCCTGGCGGTGCCGTGCCACACAGGTTACGGCTGGTGGGCTTCCTCTTCCTCTTCACCACCTTTGTGAAGCCGTCCTCGTCGCATTGATCCGTCTGCCTCTGTGGTTTTGCAACTTCGGAGACAGGCACACGGGGATTACTTTTACTCTTAGCCGATTGCCGCCTCTCGAATTTCGAAGTAGCGGGTCGGCTGGTAGAAGCGGCTACAACGGCGTATGCACGCGAAGGCATACGGGTGACGTTTCCGCCGGCACGGAGGCGCGGGCAGCAGGACGTGGCGCATCACACGCGACGGCAGCAGCGATCGGTGACGCAACCATTTCTGCCAACTCAAAAATCTCTCGACTTGTACGTTACAAAAATTCATGAGCCCGGAACGCTTCTGCGGCCGCCTCTGTGCGGCCAGTGCATTAAGCTAAGCGGCATTACAATTGTCATGAATAGGCGTGTCGCTTACCACCTTCTTGCCACCAACCGCATGATATGTTCGTCACGTCACAGTATCATATTTTTTTCAAGTAGTTAACATTATTTTTAAGAATTCATGTGATAAATGTTCTTGAGTATGATCACATGTGGCTTAGATACCCAGAATATTCAAATGGAACGAAATCTTAACGTTTACAAAATTCATTTATGCCAACTATATTAGATTCTTTATTTGCAATAAAAAACATTCGATGTTGCAATGTTCCACTTTTGTGAAAATTAAAGTAAGGTTAAACATTCTAGCAATTCTAGTATTTTATAAGAATTTAAGTGTTTTATGAATTTATTAGAATTTATTTAAAAGAATAGCCGTTGTACGCAACGCAGGCTTTGATGCAAACGCGCGATTGCATCGATGCAGTCGCTTATAAATCACAATGCAATCGCGCGTTTGTATCAAAGCATTTATCACATGAAGTCATAAAAATAATGTTAACTACTTGAAAAAAAATTATGATACTGTGACGGGACGAACATATCGTGCGCTTGGTGATAAGAAGGCGGTAAGCGACACACCTATTCATGACAATTGAAACGCCCCGCTAAGCTTAATGCTCCGACCACACAGAGATGGCCGCGAAAGCGTTCCGGGCGCATGATTTTTTGTAACGTACGAGTTTGTGTGAACTCTGCCACATTGAAACGCGCGGCGGTCGCGTCGTATAAACTCACAAACATTACAAAAATTCCCGCGCCCGGAACGCTTCTGCGGCCATCTCTGTGTGTTCTGAGCATTGCCACCGCGCCCGTCACCTTGAGACATAAATTAAAAATCCGTATATGCCTATAAATTCACCAGTACCCCTTTAAAACCGAAACGCTAGCTTCTTGTGAAAGAGTTCGATTCAACTAAAACGTGTGACGTGCCAAGCATAAAGTATAAATATATACCAAAAATAAACTTTTGTCAAAAGTCACGGCAACTCATCTTTTGTCAAAACTCACGGAACAAACGTTTTTGTTTAAGATGTTAGTAATCTAGAATCTAGTCCTGCAAGGTTGTTAGTTTGTGACGGTGTGACCTCCTTACATCGTCATCCCACCTTTTTGTCGCCTTTCTCCAGTTCCTGGCCACTCGTATTTAAATTTAAAATTTAAATTTCCATAGTTCTTTTGCCTCGCATTCTGATTTTGTTTCGTTCCATCGTCACTCCCTGCTCGATAATTTATAATTTTTATAAATTTATAAAATATATACATATAATTTTTTGAACCGTTTACCAGTTACCAAAAATCTCTTGTGCAATAAACATTTTAAAGATCATAAATATTGTTAAAACCGGAATAAATATTTATAAAACTGAATTTATTACCACTAGTTCTTTAACCTTTTGAATTTTGAACTTTAAACTTACTAAGTAAGGGGCTGCGGAGGCTACTACTACTCTCCCTGACAACATTACTATCCTACAGAACTCCACTAGCACCAGCAGCGCCCTTTCAAGTTTATATAATAAACTGCCTCCATGAACGAACGGTTACCATGGTTGGCTGCCTTGCAGAGGACCCGGATTCGAATCCCGGGCCGGGAGAAAAATTTGTATGGCCTACATTTATTTCTCCTGTGAGTTTGGGTGTAACTTGTGGTTGTCTACGTATGTGTCCATGGCTACCGCGATACAGGGTCTCCCTAGTGCGGGGCTATGAGTGTGTGTTATTCTTTTATTCCCTTAACCTAACTTCATAATAAGTACTCTATTTTGTAGGTCTCTATCACGCAGTTCGATTCCTACATACTCTAAGCCTACATCGGTTCAAACTGGAATTAAAACCTTCTCAGTTTCTTTTTCGTACAGTTATAACACTTTTGGCATAAAGGCATAAAGCTATACAACCTATGTTAACTATGTAGTTGTTACTTGGTGTAACGGGCTGGTGACCGCAACTCGACGTCAAGGCGCCTATTTTGCGTGTAACAATGTTTTTGTTTTTCAGCTCCGTGCACGCATGGCAGGAGTATCCATGGCATTCTCCTTCTTCTGCAGTTCAATGACAGTCTTATTTTACACACCGATCGCGAACTCATTTGGTGAACATGTCGTGTTCTATACATTTGGGGCAGTAACATTGTTCGGCGCAATCTATACTGTGTTATTCGTGCCTGAGACGAAAGGGAAAACTCTAAAAGAGATTCAGGCATATTGGAAGAAGGAGGAAGAACCAGTGTTTGTATAATAATAATAATTGGATGTGGTGTAATCGAGATGACTGGAACTGAAATTAAAGGAGGTTACGATTTTGCATAAGTTTCAGTATAGGTACTGTGGAATGAAATGGAAGTGAATTTTTGTGACGAAATTGTACATAGCATAATGAACATGTATCATTTCAAATTATTTCGAAGCGTGACGTCCACAGGGAATAAAGCTCCAATGTAGTTGTTAAAAATCTTATTGTATCTTTGTCATACTACAACGTTTATAGACTTGGCAATGTTTATAGAGTAAGGTGTGTTATTTAGCGCTTTTGTGCAACGCTGCGTTTGTTAAGCGCAGGCCACACCGCTAACGAAGCTAGCTAAGTGGGCTTAGCTCAGTTAGTTTCATGCAAAGCTAAGCTAAGAAAATACATAATTACTCGTGACTATGGACACGTGTGGGGTTGAGGGGCGGCAGAAGGGCGACATTTTTTACATAGCTAGCGGGAGCATTGGGTTAGTTTAGTTAGCTCGATTAGCTTAATTCGCGGTGTGACCTGCGTATTACTTATTTTTTTACTTAATTTAACAGAATTTACAGATTATGCACAACGGCATCGAAACTGTACTTAAACGTATTAAATAGAAAAGTGTATACAGGTAATTTCACTTCCAGGAGTTATTTCCACGCAAATTGTTTTAATTTTTTATCACATTTATCTGGTGCCCGCGACTTCGTGTGCGTAGAAAAAGTACTTCGAGTAACGTTCTCTATACAAACTGTCATCCCCTATTTCACCCCCATTATGATTTATTTTTGGGACAAAAAGTAGCCTATGTCCTTCTCCTAGGTCCTATGTATCTCTATACCAAAATTCATCAAAATTGGTTCAGCGGTTTACTTTCGCAAATTTAGTATAACAAACAAAATGTCTTGCACGTTATATGAAGTGAGATTTTTGTATGGTACACGGAACACCGGATTATTTTCGGCGATTTGACAGTGTCAGTGTCAGTTCCTATAGCAAAAAAGAGCTGTTTAATTATTCTTCTTTATCCTGGCCTTATGGCCAATTTTCTTTGAGGTCGGCCCTCTAAATGCGCGTGCCGGCGCACGCACCTTTACGTAAACTCAGGGTCTACATCACACACATCGTCTTCATGTCTCTTTGGACGGTTCCAATCGAAGTGGTCTGGGGTCTGCCTGGTCGTTGACAAGATTTTTTTTTTGTCATATGGCTGTCATCCCTACGCATTACGTAGGGAAAGTATTATATGTATAAGTATAATAGTCACGTCTTTATGATGAGATTAATATATAAATTTTATATAACTAAATAACCTATAAAAAACCATATTTACGGAACTTCAATTAGGTATAATGTATTATAATAATATAGCTTGTCTCCAAACGGGGGAGACAGGACCAAACGAGAATAGTTAGAAGGGTATATATAACACTTAAGTCATCGTTACGTGTAAAAGCAAAATTTGACACAGGTGTGTAAGTGTAATGTTATGACATTGCAAGTTCTCCGAGCCATAGTGGGTCAAGGTTCACTCATCGACGGTTTGTCCATGCAAAAACCACATTAAGTTTAGTTAGCATCGACGTTGTGCGTGTTTCCATACTAATCGTGCTCGTCTTCACTCTTATTGGACACGTGTTGTAATTTTAATAATAGAAATCCCATTTTAAATCTAAGGTTCAATTTACTTTGCCGTGGAATGGAATGGAAGCTAAGTTTCGTAACGAAATAGTGCATTGCATGAAGAATTTTATATCAATTGTGTAACGTACAAACTGTATTGTGTAACCTAAAAACAGACTGCGCATCTCCCGGAGCATTCTCGCGCGTTCTCGAAAGTTCCCGCAGCTACCGTCTCGTACATGTACATACAAAAAATTCCATTTCCAATTCCATTCCATTCTGCGGCGAAGTAAATTGAGTTTATAATGGAAATTAAGAATTGATTTATAGATAATATAAACCTTGGGTCCGAAGTGAAAATCGGTACGTTCCAACACTGGGTCTCCAGAAAATGCGGCGTTAGTGACCTTTTGGCTATCGTAGCTGGCACCTCACAATGTATATTTACTTTTAGTTTTTGTAAATAATTTATGTTGTAATTTTATTTTGTTTCATTTGTAATTTTTTTTGTTGAAATTTTGTCGACCATTTAAATTTTTTAATTTTATTTTGTCGTTTTAATCTATTCTTTTTTTTATATTCTTTCTCATTATTACCTATTTTACTTCTGTGTTATCATTCATGGTAACAAATAAATCGTCGGCTGAATTCAAAAACCTCTCAACTAGGTACGTTTCTGGGTGACATCCTTTCTTTATTCTCCAAGCGCAATGTCGGGCAATTAAAGCTTAAAATATTTGTAGAACTTTTAGTTATAAAGGTATAATCATATGTTGTCACTGGATTGTCATATAATTTCTAGTAATTCTGTTATTTGTGCCCATTCAAAATTCGCATTAACGGGGGTTACCAGGTTTATGAATTTAGCCGACGAAATGACTTCACAGATGTCAAAAAATCAATGGCAAAAGTTCAAAAGTAAGGAAATAATAATAACTTGTCATACTTCACTTATATACTTATTTATTATTTTAAATTAAGCTTTAAACTCGTTTGATATGGTGCTGTTATTTACGTATGTATTTAGGTGTAGAATTGTTGTTATGAATATTTACAATAAATTATTACAAAATTAGTATTTTTATCATTTCTTATATCTTTAGATGCGTTATATTATGCAAATGTCAAAAATTCTCTATTGAAAGTTGTCATATTTAATCTTAGAGAATGGAAAAAAATTTCATGTATTTGACCTTTGAAATTTGCAATTGGTTGGGTTACCATTAACGCCCAAAATTATATTAAAAGTTCAAATAGTTTTTTAACGCCATTTATTCTCAAAAAATAGACGAAACAAAAAATGCACAAAGAAAAATAATAAAAAAATCGATTATTTATGTGGTGAGTTATGGGAGTGCACCCGACTGTGTACAATGGGCGTTTAAGTGTGAAACCTTCCGAAACAAGACCGCTGAACACATAGTGTCTTCATACATAATGTATAACGACAGCGGACTCGGTTGTGGCAAATAACACATTGTAGCGGGTTTTCAATTCGCTCCGGGTTGTGGCCATTGTTGATACGCTCTAATCCAAGCGATGCTGATGACGATGGGCAAATCTTGGCTTGGATACCTATTACAGGATATGCAGTTAGCGACCATAGGAACAACAAGATCTTTATCCAAACTCCAGTTCGCGCGTTCTGTAGGCATCTCGTGGTAACCAGAAAATATCAAAAAACCCAAAAATATTTTTAAATCCTCACTATCCAGTTCAAAAATGTGTCGGTTGTTTTGACACGCATACAATAAACTCTTAGATGTTATCAAATCTGTTACGTCCTTATCAAAAAATCTTCTCAAACAACATTACGGGACTATGATTTTTCAAGGATTCTACAATGTTTGCTTTTCTGTTTTTGATAGCATCTGATCCTTCATGAGTTGTGCTATGTATAGGTGACATCTTTTTCCACACAGATGTCTCAGAATCTTGAGTTCTAGCTCTTCTTGAAGGTCTTTTTATCACTGTCGTCCCAGTCTGAAATACCGTAGTCGTTACTTCTTGGAATTACTTCCACAATACCTGACACGTCTCTTGGCAAAGTACAAGTAATAAGATCATCTTCAGTTCCTTCTTCATCGGTTACGAGAGCTGGATCTGGAGGCACTAACACCATATCGTATTCCATATAATCGTCATTTTCCTCTGTCATTATCGCCTCAAGAGCTTCTTCAAGTCTAGAATAGTTATTGTGGCTTTCAAAAATGCGACCATTCGCATTGTATATTTTTCCGGTAGACCCTGACAGCATTTATTTTAGTCTATAAGCGCCCATTGTACCCGCTTGTGTACGCTACAACAAAGTGATGCTTAGTTCCTGTGTTTCGTAATAATTAATCCAAATTATTATTTCGAATGATATTATATACCTACTCTAAGTATTTACTGTAATGATAAAAAACTAAATATATTGCAAGATTTCAAAAAAAAACATTTTAATAACTTATGTTTAAAATTGTGTCCCAAGGGCAAAACAGCAACTAATACTATGACAGTTTTGTTTTCGCGCTACCGCATTTTTTATTTTTTTAGGGTTGCTAGAACTGTCTAGTGTCGATAACACTGATTATTGTTTATAGAATTGTACTCCATGTAGGTAGTTTTTTAAATAACTGTACCTAATCGTGTACAGCGGGCGGTAACGGGTTAAGTGACTGTTTGAATAAAATTAATTTTCAAACTATTCAAAAACATTCATACTTTTGGGTTATGGTCGTAACGCGTGTCTTATTCCAGCATGAACATGGTCGAGTTCTTGAAATTTGATTAGCCAGATATAAAGTCGCTACTTAGTCGATTCTAGTCGCAAAAAACTAGGTTTAAGGACTATTCACATTAGACCGTGTCGCGCGATCCGAGTCACGTAGAAGGCGCGGAATGGAAAATTTTAAAACAACGTGCCGCGTCCGTGACACGTAACGAGGAACGCCCGAGCTGCTTCCGAGATCCTTCGAGCCTCGGAAGTGGCCCGCCCGTCTCGGTTCGTTGTTGAACACTGCGTGCGACTTAAAAATTAAAACGTAGTCTATACGTTCTATTTTTAACCGACTTCAAAAAAAGGACGAGGTTCTCAATTCGACTGTGTTTTTTTGTATTTATGTTACGCGATAACTCCGGTATTTGTGCACCGATTTTCATGATTCTTTTTTGTTGGAAAGAGGGTACCTCCATGGTGGTCTCATTTAATTTTGAAGAAAATCATCCACCTCTAAGAGTGGCTGTTCACGCATGAAGATTCATTTTTATAAATAGCGCCTAAATCTTATTATAAGGAGCAATTATTTTAATGGTTGTTTTTGCTATTCTCTAATTCAAGGCGTTTTCTCTCTCAATATACTTTTAGTGAGAACCGATTTTTATTATCTCCTGTGTCAATTTCCGTATAGTGGCGAACTAAGAGATGAATCTAGGTTTGCGCACTTTCCGGTAATCGATTTCAAAAAAAACTTGGCAAATAGATGTAATTCCACGTACTTTGAGGTCGGTCTTTTAGTACTCTGTACTGAGATTATATTATTTAAAAAAATGGATGATGAAAAATTAATTGAGTGCGTCAGATATTACCCAGTGCTTTAAAATATGATATAACACTACGTTCGTATTCGAGCGTAAACCGCGTCCTACTGACTGACTTATTCTAATTTAAGATCGTGCAGCACGTACGAGTCTCGGATGCCTCGGACAAAGCTCTCGCCTATAACGGTCTAAAATGAACATGCAGCACGTCTCAGGTTCGGATGACTCGGACAAGGCCCGCGGCCAGCGCGGTCTAATGTGAATCACCTTTAGTTGGTCCACCGTTCAAAAGTTTTGGGTGTTTTACTGTCCACGCTTAAATAAGCTCATTCCAGTGGCACTATTCCTCA